GGACTTTTACTGTGCTTACAACTGTACCACCAGTAGGTAAAAGATATTCAAGAAGGGGGTAAAATTTACATGGATAATTCATTTTCTGATATATCTTAAAAAAAAAAATAAAAATCACAGAATCAGAGAATGGTTCAGATTGGAAGGGACAGAATCACAGAATCTTCATGTTTGGAAAGAACTCTGAGATCATCGAGTCCAACTGTAGACTTAAAGACCTTAAAGACCATCTCATTCTACCCCCCTGCCCTGGGCAAGGATACCTCCCACTAGACCAGGTTGCCCCAAGCCCCATCCAATCTGGCCTTGAAGCCCTCCAGGGATGGGGCTGCCACAGTTTCTCGGGGCAACCTGGGCCAGTGTCTCACCACCCTCAGAGTGAAAAATTTTTTCCTGAGATCTCATCTAATTCTGCCCTCTTCCAGTTTGAAGCCTCTACCCTTCATCCTACCACTACATGCCCTTGTAAAAAGTCCCTCCCCAGCTTTCCTGGAGACCCTTTAGGAACTGGAAATGGCTCTAAGGTCTTCACAGAACCTTCTCTTCTCCAGGCTGAACAACTTTTCTGCCTTTGTCGGGCAATTCATGACCAGCCTAAGGTGTCTACTTAAAGATGTGATGAATTACATGCTGGAGGGGCCTATTTCTTTCTGCTGTCTCTAAGAGGATGACTAGAACAACTACTTCAGTAGACGATTCACACAAGTTATGTCTCTTCTACAAGTATCTTTTCAGGGAGAGACTAGAGGTATATGATGTACTGCAATCAACTGCAAAATAACATAAAACCAATGTGGACTGCTAACATTTCAAAAAGAATGAGAAATTACACCATCTCCTTATTAAAAGCATTCTTCCCTAAAATCTCAGGTGGTTAATGGGAAACAAAATAATAAAATAACCTAATCTGGGACTACAGAACTAGCTCTGTGCACGGTTCCAGCCACAGACAGTTGACAAATTTAGAGAAAATTTCTTTTTGTATTTTCACATCTATTCAAGAAGGGAAAGAAAAGAGGAAAGGAAATCAGGAAAAGAAAAGAAGAAAGGAAAAAAAAAAAAAACAGAAAAAAAAGAATCCAGAGAACCTGGAAAACTTACCTCCTCTGTGCTTGGAGATCTAATTTTTTGAGTAAGGGGTGTATGATTTTATCTCCTCAACACCTGCCTTCCCTGGTAGGAATGTGTTAGAGCACAGAGTGTTTAAAGAACTTAGAATGGCTTCTGGAAAGTTTCCAACGCTTCCTTAGGATGTGCCTTTTACTGTGCAATCCCATCTAATTTAATTTCTTGTTTTTCTGTATCGCTTTCCTGCCAATGTGAGAAGCACTTTGATGGGCTGTCTGGATAGCCTGGCCTGGCCTGGCCTGTGTGCACTGAAAGATGCGTTCCCAACCCGGCAGGAGAAAGAAGGCTGAGAAGAAAACTGTTTAAGTAGCACTCTGTAACCATCTCCAAGGAAATCTCCCACCTGAAGGGCTCTTGGGGCTGGAGGAGGGAGGTGAGGAGGCTTAATGAAAGGAAGGCACGAAAGAAAGGGCTAAAGGAGGAGAAATTGATTCTGTCCTCAATGAGAACTTCAAACAAAGATGTATTAGAGAAATAGCCATCAGTCCGTGATAATGGTATTATGAAAGCATTTCAGGATTTCTCCAGTACAGCCAATGGATTAACGGAATACAAAACTGGACAATGATGTGCAGCGACCTAGTCCAGTTAATCCTTTCCAGAGTCACAGAATCATAGAATGGTTCAGGTTGGAAGGGACCTTAAAGATCATCCAGTTCCAACCCCCTGCCATGGGCAGGGACACCTCCTACAAGACCGGGTTGCTCAAAGCCCTGTCCAACCTGACCTTGAACACCTCCAGGGATGGAGCATCCACAGCTTCTCTGGGGAAAGCCATGTTTTATGGTTCTCTCAAGTGTAGAGGCCCATTAGACCCACTGTTTTGGCTTTAGAGCATTGTGAGTTATATAAAACAGGTACTTCACATCTTCCTGTATTCTGAAAGAAAACACATAAACACCAAATCTTCATTTTAAAAGAGTTAGAGAGATTTCTAGTAGTGAGAGAGGTGCCATGCTCTGGTGATGGTAATGGTTACCTGTCACAATAGTCTTCAAGCACACTTCTCTCAGTAGTGGCTGTGCTCAAGTTTTCAAAGAGACAGCAGATGATCTGGGTTACTTCTTGATGACCTTTCAAGTCCTATTTTGCATGAAATTTCATCACTGGCAATCCAGTGAATAAAGCTTCTCGCAAGAATTTGCATGTTCTTGCAAAGGTTGGTGAATTGCAGAGTAAGTAAAAAAATTCCTTCTTTTATAAATGGGGAAACCGAGGGAGGAAGTCAGCTCTTTTACACCTACGGAAGTCAGCTGAATTGAGTCTTTGTCACTCTGGGCTCTCCTATGGAAAGAAATAGATCTTTCCAGAAATTGACTCACCTGATCTACCTCAGACCTGATTTTAGGATGGGGTTAGGTTTAAAATAAACATCTAGAATTTGAACAAAAGTTGCATCCAGAGAGTTACAGTCAATGGCTTGATGTCTAGGTAGAAACCAGCAATGAGTGGTGTCCCTCAAGGGTCAACAGTGGGACCAATACTATTTAATATCTTCATCATTGATATAGCCAGTGGGATCGAGTTGCACCCTCAGTGAGTTTGCAGATGACACCAAGCTGAGTGGTGCAGCTGATACACTTGAGGGAAACGATGCCATCTGAATGATCTTAACAGGCTTGAGGAGTGGGCCCATGAGAACCTCATGAAGTTCAGCAAGGTCAGGTACAGGGTCATGCACCTGGGTCGGGGCAGTTCCCACTATCAATACAGACTGGGGGATGAAGGTATTGAGAACAGCCCTGCAGAAAAGGACCTGGGGATACTGGTGGATGAAAAATTCAACATAAGTCGACAATGTGGTCTTGCAGCCCAGAAAGCAAATCGTATCCTGGGATCCATAAAAAGAAGTGAGACCAGCAGGTTGAGGGAGGTGATTCTCCCTGTCTGGTGAGACCCCATCTGGAGTAGTGTGTCCAACCCTGGAGTCCTCAGTATGAGACAAACATAGACCTGCTAGAGTGGGTCCAGAGGAGAGCCACAAATATGATCCAAAGCTGGAACATCTCTCTTATGAAGACGGTAAGAAGAGAAGACTCCTCCAGACCCTCTTGTAGCCTTTCAATGTATACAGGGGGTCATAAGAAAGACAGAGAACGGCTCTTCAACAAGGCCCATAGTGACAAGACAAGGGGCAATGGTTTTAAACTGAAAGGGAGTAAATTTAGATTGGACACAAGGAAGAAATTACATTGACACAAGGAAGAAATGATGAGTGTGGTGAGACACTGGCCTAGGTTGCCCAGAGAATCTGTGGTTGCCCCATCCCTGGAGGGGCTCAAGGCCAGGCTGGATGGGACTTTGAGCAACCTGGTCTGGTGGGAGGCATCCCTGCCCATGGTAGAGGGCTGGAACTCAATGATCTTTAAAGGTGCCTTTCAACCCAAACCATCCTGGTTCTATGCAATCTTGCTGTCAAGACAAGCCTCATTTTTCTTAACTTTAAACTTCTGCAGCCAAAGGTGAATCTATGAAATGAAACACAATAAAGTGAATGGATATGCCAATTCATGCAGCAGTTCAACTCGGACTCATCACTGCTCTGAAGTCTACTGTGTATTTTTAGTTCTGACTTATGGGTGTCAATAAACAAGTCATTTCATCCATTACCTGTTACTTTCCTGACATTTCTTGAAATTTAGAATGATCCAATAACAGCCAAGGTAATCTAACCCTCTCCCAACATGGAATCCCAATGATCTATGCAGTGCATATGAAAATCCCCAAATTAATGAGGAGGTTAAATACTGCTCTGGATGAAAATAGTCCTGTAATTTAAAGATCATCTTACACTGGAGCCTGGACTCCTGGCCAGGTTAATAAGGGTTAAGAGTAGTCACTATAGGAAATAGAGTATTGGGTAAGAAAGTAAAAACAGTCTTACAATCTTTGGGAAAGGAAGAGGAACAAAAAATGACAGAAGCAGCTAAAGATGAACCACCGGGTATCTCGCCTGCTAAACTCATTTGGGCCAGATCTGCCAGTTTTCGTACCCACTGACACACATGGCAGCAATTTGGCCAGCGTCATACTCATGTCCTTTTGTTTCCCTAGCCAAATGGACTAGCAAAAGTGACTTCATGCACAAGCCCAAAATAAGAGTCGCTGGTATCTCCTGTTACAAAATAGTTTCCTCTAAAGACGTGCTTACAGCCAGAAAAGGAGAAAGGTGTTTTTTCTGTTTTCACTCCACTTACTTTGGCAGGTGGATCTGGACATCATGGTGGTGGTAGCTCATGCACATGGAAGGATTGTGCATTGTGAGAAGATGACTGAGGTGTTGTGGTTGGGTAGTGAATGCTGGCAAGGGGCTGTCTTGACATTGAGGTGAGGTGGTGAAGAGATGTGAATTTGATGGTGGGAAGGACGGGGCTGAGGCACTGTTTGGGGAGGAGAGGTTGTGAAACTGGAAATGGAAGGCACAAGGCTGGAAGCTGTCTGGAGGGATTTTGTGAAATGGGAGGTGTGGTGAAGGACTGTGCTGAAAGACAGTGTGAAGTGGCAGGTGGTGATACTGTGGGGCGTGAAGTTGCCTTGAAAGTTGTCTTCTGATGTCCTGACATCAGAAGCAGGCACTAGGCATCAAAGGCAGCACAAGCAGAGTTTGGGCAGTTGTAGCTTCGGAGGTGTGGTGTAAGGCTATGGAGGTTGGGTGAACCCTCCTCTAGGAAAGGTTGTGTGAAGCAGTAGGCACTAAGTAGGGTGGTAACTTGCACTGGGAGAGGCTGTGGGTCAGAAGAGGCCACTCGGTGGTGATGGGGGTGTTCAGGCCAGTTTAGCAGGGACAATAGGCTCTTGGGGAATGAGAAGTTGTGCTGTGGGATGTTGTGAAACTGTCAGCAGGCATTATGGAAGAGGACTGACCATTTCTCAATCTCTGTGACCCTCAGCAGCAGTAAGGCATCTTCTTCAAGGTCTGTGAAACCAGAGCAGCTCAGGGACAGGAGCAGGAAACAAAGCATCGGTGCAAGGGGCAAGGTATAATTTCGCACAGACAATTCTTATTTTCTTTGTATTGTCAGACTGGCTGAAGAAGGGAGAAGTAGAAACATCACACTGATAGGTTCTGTAGGAAGAAGGAAGGGGGAAGTGGTTCTAATCTAAGTGACCACGATATTTGCCCAAGAGAGTGATTGGCTGGCTGTCGGATGTCACGTTGAAAAGACCACAGCTTTTTAAACAGTGTCCAACTAGCCCAACGCTACAGTACGACACAAGGATTATCTCTGGACCCTATGTCACAGAACTCAGGTGACAATTGTACCCAGAGGACCCACACAAGGCAGCTGCTGCAAATCGGTCACTGAAATTCCAAGGAATCCACAAAAAGGTGAGAAATTTCTAGATGGTATCTTTGTCGGTGCACTGCATCCCATGCTTCCTGTCGTGCTTTTGGAGAGATGGTGAGGGGAAGGGAGGAGGAAAAAAATTGGACGGAAAGGAGAAAAAGGAGGAAATTTTCTTCTCCTGATGGTTAGAAATTAACTATAGGAAAGAAATTGTCTTGATCATTTTCAAGATAAGGAGAGCTTCATTCTGGGGACCTTTTTCCTTGAACAAGTGCTATTGAATTGCTCTAAATACAACTCTGTAATACAAGATACCATTATTCAGAGACATAGGATTAGAAGTTTTGGTCTTAAACGATTGCTCAAAATTAGCCAAGAAAATATGACATCATAACTTTGTGTCCATAGTCTAAAATGTCTTTGTGGCGTCAAGGTTGTTTAGACTGACATCTGCCACAAGAACTGCATGGTAGTCAGCATGCAAATCACAGGAAGGACGTTTAATCTCAAGAGAGAAGACTACCTAGACTCAGCTTGCTACTGTTTGATGCAAGCTTTCATTAATTAGTTTCATTAAGGAAGTAGGCTCACATCTTGAATGTTTCTTGGAGACACAAATGTGTCTTGGAGACAAGAAGAAATCAGTGTTTCCAAGGTAATAAATGATCAGAGAACTGTGAGTGACTTTTTTCAGTATTCTTTTCCGTGTTCTACAGAAGTCAGAGAAGGATTCCTTCACTTGCATCACAGTGGAAGGTAAAATTATTGATGTTTTGCCATTTATCCACACAGTGTCCATTACAGCCATATCTGTACCTGGCGATATGATCAATGGCACAGGACAATGTCATTTAACACTAGGAAATATGCTTGACAGGCTTAGGTTAGCTTGATTCCCTGAATGTCTGTTGGAGAGAGACACGCTTCTGGAGGATGGGGTCAATCACCTTCTGGAGGTGGCTGCTGCAGGGAGGTTAGAAGAGCTGCTGCTTTCCCAAAACACATGGTCAGAAGGCTGGAGTGGGCTCAGAGAGAGCTTAAGTGACACTTAGATGTTCGTGTCCTCTTCAAATCAATTGGAAATTTGCTTCAGATAGCTTGTGGCAGAGGACAGTGCTGCATTGGGTCTTCTAAAGGCTAGGAAACCATTTAACCACTGGCTCTGCCTTTCTCCTCATATCAGCCATGGTGATTCAGCCTTGAAGCCAGAATTAGAGGCTGCTCCAGCTGCTTGCTATTGTGAATCAAGGTCTGACAATTTGCTGCCACCCCAAAAGCAGGTAGCGAGGAAGTGAACAAAGCCATCAGGCTGTATCTTCTCAATTTGCTTGCTACAGATGCTCAGGGAAGAGGCAGCTTTGCTGGTGAGGTTGGTCAGGCAGTAGCTGCTCGGCCCAGATAAGGAAAGAGAAGGTGAGTCTGAACCAAGGCATGTTCCTGTTGTGAAACTGCATTGCAACAGAGATTCTGAGCATTCTGAAGGAGATGATGACGTTTGTTTTCCGTAGTTCCTCTCAATATGTACTGAAATTCTTTCTTTAGAGACCAGTCGTCTCTTAAGTCTTAACGCTAGAAGCACTCAAGGTCCAGTAGCAGCCAAGGATGGAATCATCCAGCTTCCTATAGAAGAGTATGGTGCGGTGCCAGAAGCTCCCTGGTTTCGCTCACCCCTAAAGGTTTCACATCCTGCAAAGCCTTGGTGAAGTTGAGGGTGGAATTCACCTCAGCCAACTTCAGCTGGCCACGCACTAATAACTCTCGCTGAAGCTGGCACTCTGCAATGTAGCTGCAGTTGGCAAAGACGGGCAGGTGGCTGGACACCTACTGAAGACAGGTAGAATAAAATGTATTATCATTGGTGGTGCTTGTAACCCTCCATTAATTCAAATGGCAGAGCTTTAAAGGTGGTGTTAAATGAGCTGTTTGCATTTTTAATGGTGAAAACCAGATTTAACGGTCCCAGCTGAATTCCCAACCAAGCAACATGCTGGTGAACGCGCCTTCCAAGGACTAATGCAGCAAGATTGTTTATGTTGCTCCAGGCCATCATCTGGCCAAGGAAATGACCTGCATTGGGCATTTATCTCGCCTCTATCCATGCAATGTGTCTGAGGTGCTGAGACAAAACAATAATGATTAAATCCGTCACATTCACCATGACGTTCCTTCATCTATGATTTCATGATTTTGCTTGTTTATGGAAGTCTGTCCCCATCTGCGCAGCATTTTGCAAAGAGAGAACAGACTATTCACGCTGGTTAGACTGTTCCGTGATTCACATCTTCCCAGCTCTTCCCATTTTGACTTGTTCCTCTGTTTTTTAAGACACTTCTCTACCTTCTCACATCAAAATTAATGGCTGGTGAGGAGGGAGGAAGGCAGTCACGTTGTTTGACCTTGTCAGACAAAAAAAAAAAAAAAAAAGGGGGGAAATAGTCATGAAAGCCTGTGCTTTCATGGATCCAAAGCACTGCACCATTCAATGTTGCTTCTTTGTCAGAAGGGACAGGGAACAAAAATGGGTCAACGCTTAGAAGTCAGCACTGCTGCAAATGGACTTTATGGGCCCTATGTCTGCAACACAGGTCACCCTTTGTGCAGGCTGGGGGAGACAAGCTAAATACTTGTAGTTTCAATCTGTTTTGGCTTAGCTGTTTGACAGCAAAGTCATAAGCTCCTCTCATGTCCACTGTGTACTCTTACTTCTCCTGAACTTTGCTCCTTTTTTGTACAGAAACACGGTCACTGGGTAGATGCTAAAAGAAAAAAAAAAAAAAAAAAAAAAAAAGGTGTGAAATCTTATTTTTCAACTATTTTTTTGGGGTCAAGATTCTCATTCAGATCCCAGTATCATGGTGGAAGAAGAAGCAGAGTGAGCTGCTTCGGGGAATGAGTTGAAAGAATTATTTGAGTCATAATTCCAATTTCCTGGGAGGGTCAGACATTTTGTCCCACACACGGTTCTCATGGTTTCTTTCTGAGAAGGATGTTATTATGGTCTGACTCTGTCAGACTGAATTGTTTATTTTCTGTGCATAGAGCTCTGTACCACATTAAACTGCATTTTATTGAAACAGAAATCAGTCATGGACATAAAAAAAATACCAGCTATTTGGAGTACTCTCTACCATGTTTTCTGGGCATACGCATAGGACAAAACCTGATCCGCTTTCATGCTAATTAAACTTCTGTGCTGATTGCCTAGAACTTTCACACACCTTTGGCAAGATTTGTCTCACCTAAATCTAGCGACATGAAGCAAAGATAATTATCCCAGAGTTGTTAACACTGGGTTCTCTTTTTATTCAGGCAAGAGGTACTTTTCAGACATGATTAAGATAAGATATAATTGCTTGTTAATTTGTAAATGCTGACTGCAAAAAGGACCCTCTAGAAATTAATTTAGAAAGGGAGAAATACACTGCAACCTAACCTTTTCTACACGTCATGTAGAATTCGGCCTTAGATACTTGGCCTTTGAACACCGCTCTGTGCTCAGAGTCCAAACATGGCAATCCCTCCCTAAATCAAGCTCTGGTGACAAAGAATTAGAACAAATCCAGAAACACCACCAGATCACCGTGAGGGAAAATGACACTGGAGTTACCACCTCTCTCCTCTGCTTACAGGTTTCTCTGAAGTCCCTCATTATGAATTCTTCAGCTACATTGATCTTCCTTCCAACTGCAGCCAGCCAGGCTCATGGTACGAATCACAGTGGGGCTGTGGGAAAGCCAGAGGCATCATATGCTGTCCTCAAGTTCATGGAGAGCTTCTGCCTCATCAGCGCTGCCTGTGGGATGGTGGGAAATGGCATGGTCCTTTGGTACCTTGGCTTCCGCATCCGGAGAAACCACTTCACAGTCTACATCCTGAACCTGGCCGCTGCTGACTTTGGGTATCTCCTCTGCATCGCCATCGAGTCGGTTCAGTACCTGATGCAGTTCAACGTGGGGGTGCAGTTTGGGATATTCCTCTTCCTGGACCTTTTCATGTATGGGACCGGCTTGTATCTCCTCACGGCCATCAGCATTGAGCGGTGCCTGTCTGTGCTTTGTCCCATCTGGTGCCGAAGCCACCGCCCAACGCTCTTGTCCGGCATCATCTCCGGCCTGCTCTGGGGTCTCTCCTTCCTACTGAACACGCTGGGGTATGTTTTGTGTATCCCTCAACCCACTACCAAGAGCTGCCAGCTTGTGCTCATCGCCATTGGAACCTTGGACTTCCTCTTCTGCACGCCCCTCATGCTGCTCTTCAGCCTGACCCTCTTCCTCAGAGTCAAGTGCAGCTCCCAAAACATCCGAACAGGCAGGCTCTTCATTGTCATCATGCTCACCGTCCTCTTCTTCCTCATTTTCGCTGTGCCACTGAGCGTCCTGGTCTTCTTTCACTTCTTGGGCCACAAATTCCTCTACTCCCCGGAGATCGGCTTTGTGCTGTCCTGTGTGAACAGCAGTCTCAACCCTGTCATCTACTTCCTTGTGGGGAGCTACAGGGATCGGAGAATCAAGTTCACCCTCAAGCTGGCATTCCAGAGAGCCTTTGAAGATTCAGCAGACGACAAAGACGAACGGGAAACCCGTGACACAATGACCATGTCCTCCTAGTACCCTGCTGTGCCTAACACAGTAGCACTGGTCTGGAGCTGAGGGATGATAGTTTACAGAAACAAAGAACTCTGAGGTACCGGGGAAGCTTTCTCTCACCTAACCTTTGGCATCTTCATTATAGACTTCTACCTTTTAGCTAGTGATTTTAAGTTCCATCTGTGGTCAGTGAAAACACATAAGCACCTGGACACATAATTTATCTGACTTGTATTAGGACCACGTTAGAAGTGCCAATTTCTTTTCAGTGGCCGTAATTTCAATTTGATAAGGTGAGGTGTCTTGATGTCTGAGTGGGATTCAAGGGAATCCCACTCAGATTTTGCAGCTCACTCAATAAATCTCTGATATTGTTGTGCTCTAAAATGCAAATTCATAAATTCTCAGTCACTTTTAACTCTGAAAATGAGATGGGAACCCATCCTCTTGTTGAAATGAGTCACGAAATTCCTGGAAGGAGAATCTATATCTCTCTCACTTCATTTCAAAAACCTGTATCTCAGCAGCACGTGCAACCTTTTGTGGCTCACAGAGTACACGATTCTTCGCTTCCTAATGTGAAAATTTCAAATGAAACCGTTCATGCCCTAGAAGTTCGTTTCTTCTGTTAACCAGGGAGGTTTCCACACCATAGAGTTGTGATGTAGTAGGAAAGGGCTCCAGCCCCTATGGGGAGGGATTCTTTATCAGGGAATGTAGTGATAGGACAAGGGGTAATGGTTTTAAATTGAAAGAGGGGAGATTTAGCTAAGCTACTAGAAAAAAATTCTTTCCTATGAGGGTGGTGAAACACTGGAACAGGTTGTCCAGAGAAGCTGTGGCTGCCCCATCCCTGGAGGGGTTCAAGGCCAGGCTGGATGGGGCTTTGAGCAACCTGGTCTGGTGGGAGGTGTCCCTGCCCAGGGCAGGGGGTTGGAACTGGATGATCTTTAAGGTCCCTCCCAGCTCTAACCATTCTATGATTCTATGATTTATGCACTGAGTCACATGCTCCCTTTTCTGGTGTTTCAAAGAAATACAGGGCTGGAGCTGCATATTAATTTAGCCTCCTCCAGTGCAGGACAGAGTATCTGCACCTAACTACGGCATGCATGGTGTTCTAATTTCTTCCTTTAAGAAGGACAGATGATAAGAACCATGGCTTTTAACATCTCCTCCATCAACAGAAATACATTCAAGGACAGGGAAAGAAATAGGAAGGAGAAGAAAGGTGAATAAATACCACAATTTGCAAAAAATTACTCTCTAGATCCAATCCCTCGAGATGCAAGATGTGATTATTTGAAGTGTTGTACTATTGGACCATGAAACATTTGCTCTTTTAAACTAAATTGACAGAAAAGGTCAACACAGGTAATTTCTTTTCTTATGGATTTATTCTTCATGTCTTCATCTGCAAATATTCCCCTGAAGGGAAACTGCATTCTTCTACTGTGGGTTTTTTTCTGTTCATTTGTCTTTTTATTAATTTTGAAATGCACCACTCAAAAAAATAGTGGTTCACCCTGATGTCTGTAGTTGCTTTTTGCTTCCTGCTTACAGTTCCTGAAAGCTGAAATTTGAGGTCCATTTCTATTATTCTTTAATTTTTAATGTTATTGTTCTACAATGTACATACAGTTGATTAAGATTCAGTCTATGGCATCAAATATTTTTTGTAAGGTTTTTGCCTTCTAGCTTTTACTGCTGAGGAGAAGAGAGCATCCATTTATCAGAAATCATGTTTAAAATGTTTACCTTTTAATATCTGTAATGACTTTATCATTGGGAGAACTGAAACATTTCCGTTACTATTAAAAATGTCAAAAGCCTTGTATTTTAAAGCATTACTGTGCTTAGAAGAAGCCGTCAACTGATAAAAACATACAGACATAAACTGTGAAAAACTTTGCACCCTGGCAGTTTGTCTTTAAACAAACCCATCATGAAGACATACAGCATTTAACGTGGGTGCATTTTACACATCACATTAATGTGAACATTTTTTATCCAACCTTGGACACCCAAAAGCTGCTGCCTGCATATCAACCACCATCGCAGACACCCTCAATCATCCATGATAAAAGACAGGAATTCTTAGGGGTGGCATCTGCCAGATACTTGCAGTGTATCTCCTGTGGTCCAAAAGAAGTCAGCGATAGGATCTGCAAGGAGATGGGGATCATTTGAAGGCTTTTCCACCCTGAACTCACACCAAGCCAGTCAGTCCAGCCTGCCAGGGAGAATGTCGCCAGCATCTGAACTAATTTTGTCCTCCAAGTTGCTCGGTATCTCTCTGGAAGGATGTCAGAACATCCAGAAGATGGTCACGAGAAGGGTACCTTCCTCAGGGACCACGAGCACCCTGAAAAAAGCCCACGTTTCTGCCTCCCGGGGGACAGCTGAAAGGAGACAGGCAGCTCAGGCCATAAACATGGAGTGTGCTCCTCAACATGGTCCATGTGCCAGCAGCATGTAGTGCCTGCGAGGGATGATGTCACCTGCTCCCCAAGGGCAGCAGCCCTATCTCCACTCCACTGAGGAGCTCCTAGACACTGGAGTCTGAAATCAACTTTATTTTCTCAGTGATTTCAGCAGAAGGCACACACATTACTGTTGGTATTTCTGCAGAGCAGTGTATGGGTATCTGGATGCTTCAGAATGGTCCAGTTTTCCACCACATGCAAGAGAGTTAAAGGCTCTCCAGTGCTTTGACGTGGTTCCCTTTCCCAAGCCTTTGTCCCCTAGGAGTTATCTCCATCCTCCCCTTCAAGCAGCCACCCCATTCTCCATTCCAAGAGCTTCTACAACAACCAACCCACTTCTCACCCTGGTCTATTTCACACACACCACAAAAGATCAACCTTCCCCTCGCAGTGGTCTCCAGCATCAGTTGCCAAATTCCTCCTCTTGCACCTTTCATGGAGATGTGGTTTCATGCCACAGGAAGGAAGAGGCAGCAGTTAGTAAAAGAAGGCTACAGCCTCTTTGGAAGAGGAGAGTTAGATGATGGCATAAGGGACAAGCCCCTCTAGACAGCTATCTTTTGCACTATTCAGGTGTTGCACCAGCTCACAGCCAACAACACACACAGCAACTTAGGACTGGGCACAAAGAAGAGCAGAGGAGGTACAACAGGGCAAACCCATCCCTGGAGGTGTTCAAGGCCGGGCTGGATGGGTCTTTGAGCAACCTGGTCTCATGGAAGGTGTCCCTGTCCAGGACAAGGTGGTTGGAACTTGATGATTTTTAAGATCCCTTCCAACCCAAACCATTCTATGATTCTATGAAACAGGCTTTGGCAGGCCTTGCTGCTGAGACCCGAAGTATGTTACAGAAACCCCACTTTAGAGCCTACAGGTTGTATACTTTAAAAGTTTAACTGTGCAAAACATAGTCACTCATTCCTACCAGGGCCAGAAGTAGACAGCAGGTCAAAGCAACCATCCATAGGGAAGAAGCTGTAAATAAAGGACTTGGTCCAATCTTGGCTCTGTTTGATTTGAATAGCTATTGCTACTTACGAAGTCAAAAATACAACAAACTCCAAATAACCATCTCATTATTCTGCTGTTTCTACTTGGGGTAGTAAAGTGCCTCTACATCTCCCCTGGCAGTGAACGGGAAAACAAAGCAGAAAATTTTATGGCATTCAAATGGAAATGTACCTTTGTCAAGAAGAGGAGCTACGGACAGGAGTGAAGCTGTGAAGGTAGGGAGAGGTGATTTTTCATTCTATCAAACTAACTAAACTTAGCAAATAGAGATTAAATACATTCAGAGAACAGCTCCTCTGAGCTCAACCTGATGACACTCTTCAGGCAGGTGACACCTCCACCATCTTTCTGCAGGAGCTGTCTCCTAACTTCAGTCTTTGGTCTACTCTTCAGAGTCTCTCCATAAATCAGCAAACCCATTGAGCCTCTTGGGAAGTCCTTGATGGTCCCCTGACCTTAATGCCCCTTCTTCTTCACATCATTCCTCCGGTACAGAACCACTCCTGGTCATGTCCTTCCCTTCTTCTGCCCCAACAGACCTCATCATACACCCACTCCCTGACCTGGGATGCCAACAGAGGCCTCCCAACAGCAGCCAAGGAGGCAGAGCACTGGCCTTGTCTCAACTTGCCATGACAAATCACCACAATTCAGACACAGAACAGCACGAGGGCTTTGCCCACTGCCTCTAATCTCATCCCTGACACGCACTTGTCTCCTCTCAGATTACACTGTGTGGGGTACACTGTGCTGCAAATGTGCTTTTATCTACAAGTGGTTCCTCTCACGCCATCTCACCCTGGAGCCTCACAGGGACCGGCATTTTCATTGCTTATTTTCTCTCCTTCTTTCATGGGTTTTCCATCTTTTCCATCTTCTTGGAAGTTATGGCCTGCATTGGTCATCCCCAAGACTGATGTCCTCCAAAGATGCCCTTTGATTTCACGTGCCCAATGTACGACAGATAACATGGTCCAAATGTCTCCAGGGGCTCCAGCCTGGAGCTGCAGGACTTGAGGCCAGAGAGTAGAAACAAGGCTAAAGTATAGGCTAAAGATCCCTCTATGAGAAGGGGACAGAGACAGGTCTTCAGAGAGCCACCAGGCTCAGGCAAAGCCTGGTTGCTCAAGTCTGACAGTAACTGGAGCCCCTGGTTCCACAGGCAGGGGATGAAAGAGTGGGATCAGGGCAAACAAGGCCTTCTGTTGCATTTGGGACCCTGGAAGAGAGAATGAGTGCTTCCCAGGGACACTTTAGTGTGCTATGCTGTTCCATCATGCTTCATGAGATGAAGTCCCTTTATTACCCTCTCCCACACTTTTGGGTCTCTAAGATGCAGCTCATCATTGTTCTTCCATGACAGCGTGTGAATTTCTATCTTTGCCTCCTCTGTGGAAAACATTTCCCAACATCGTCCCTCACCGACACGGTGCTCCTCTCTCCTCCTTAGCCTCCAAGCAGAAGATCTTACTTACCCTTGGCTCTGTAGGCGTTGTCTCCTATGGTTTTGGAGCTATTGCTCAGTTACATGCACCACATTCCAGGTTCTGCTAAGTGTTTCAAAGAAGCCTTCCTATCAGGTAGAGCCCCCAGGGAGAGCAGGGGGAAGTCTCTGACCACTATACAAACAGCAAACAGAAGAAGCCCCTCGCATGGCGGCACAACACTGGAGGACATCCTGGAGAGCTGGAAGGGCTGACGTGACTAGCGCCTGCTGACAAGATCTCTGTCCATGGGACATGTGAGGGGAAGCCGTCACTGATGTGATGAGATTGTGAGAGGAGTCTCCTGATCACAAAACATGATCGCTGGGCACAGATTTGCTCATCAGGCACGGTGAAGGAGGACGAAGCAGAGCGGGTGGTCCTGACAGCCATCAACACCCTCTTTCTCCTTGAAGCCTGGAGGCTCCCTGTGCTGGAGCTCCTGCAGCAGCACTGTTCCCAGCAGCACCAGGAGGTAGGAGGCTGGGGATGGCCAGGTGGGAAATGCCTCCTGTCCAGGGATAGGGCTGGAGGGGTGGATGCCCATCCTGGGCACAGCAGGGGACGGGGTCCTTTCTGGTATAACCTGAGGCTGGCGTGGGGCCATGGGGAAAGGTGGCAAGTGCTGGGAGTGTGCTGATCCTCATTTCCTTCTGACTCCTGGTCTCTCCTAGGAGGTTGTAGAAGAGGGAGAAGGTGGCCGGAGCTGGGTCATTCACCATGGTTGAGACCAACACAACAAATCTCTCACTGAACCACATGGATTCTGGATATGACTACACTGAGCAAGACTTGCAATATTGGTGCATAAGAGATAATTATAATATATTGATAATTTCAGGTGTTTTTATTGTTGTTTGCCTGTGTGGACTTGCGGGGAATATGGTGGTTGTGTGGTTCCTGGGCTTCCACATGAAGAAGAACCCCTTCACTGTCTATGTCCTGAACCTGGCCATCGCTGACTCCTCTCTGCTCCTCTTCATTCTTGGGATACTTATGTTATCTATTCTTACAATAGTAAAATGTTATAAGTGGTATGAATATGAGCGGCCCAGAAATATCCTGATGCTTGTGTTTCTGTATTGGTATTTGGTCAGCATGTATCTCCTGACAGCAATGAGCATGGAGAGGTGCCTCTCTGTTTTATTCCCAATCTGGTATCGGTGTCATCGCCCAAAGCACTTATCAGGCATCGTGTGTGGGGTGCTCTGGGCTGTCACTGGACTATTTCTTGCTTTGGCTTTGATTAGTTGTACTTTATTTCATTATACCAAGTGTGAAATTGTAAATATGGGTTTAAATATTGTAAATTTTCTCATTTTCTGTTTCGTCCCACTCCTTTCCAACCTTTCCCTCTTCATCAGACTCCGTTGTGGCTCACAGAGACGACACCCAGGAAAGCTCTATGTTGCTGTCCTCCTCAGTGTGATGTTCATGTTCATCTTTGGCCTGCCTCTCATCATATTGATTTTGCTTCATAACCTGGTTAGATCCCTATATATAATTTATATTGGTTACCTGCTGGCATCACTGAACAGCAGCATCAACCCAGTCATTTACTTCCTGGTGGGGAGCTGCCGGAAACGCCGGTTCCAGAGCTCCATGAAAGCCGCCCTACGACGAGTGTTTGAAGAGAAAGTGACAAGTGAGGAGGAGAGCCGTGCACCTGAGGACACTATGATGGAGACCACTGTATAAGACACTGCTGGTGAGAAGCCCTGGAGATGCGGCCCCTCGCAGACAGCCAGAAGGAGGTGGAGGCGTGGGGACACGTAGCACACAGCCAGCGCTGCACTGCTCAGCCGGGATCCGTCCCTCTGCCCGCCCTGCTTTCCCCTTGCCATGATCCTCATTGCTCTGGACACAGCGAATAAACTCTGGCCCCTTTGCTCAGCAGCTGATGAGTTCTGTGGTGTTTGGGGGGATCACCTGCCAGGGGAAGGTCTGACACATTTGTACCTTGGGGAGCTCTGGCCATCTCTGCTGGCCAAAGAAGGCAGGGCTCGGCCAAAAGGATTGTAAATGGGCAACTCCAAAGATCCTTGTGGGTTACTAAGGGACTAGTTCTGTAGAAAGGAAGACATAGGGTAAAATTACAGTTTGAAGAATGCAAAAGAATGGGAAAGAGAGAAGCAAAAGGGGAAATAAAGAGAGAAAATGAGATATAGAAAATGAGAAAGGAGGAGAGGAAGGAAAAAAAAAAGCAAGAGAGAGGATGGGAGAGCAAAAGAAATACAGGGACAAGTGAGCTGTCTGGCGGTGCTGAAGAATGAGATTTGGTGAGACAAGAATCTGGCAGATAAAATCCTGCTTGCAGTCCCATGTAACCCACAGGCACATCTCTAAGGCCACTCACCTGAGCAGTTTTGTCAGAGGCACTGGGTGAAGCCCTTGTGCTGTTGCTTGTCCTCGCCCTGGTGATTTCCGCATGTGGAAGGTCTCCTGGTCCAGCATCAGGTGCACACGGGGAAAGCCAGAAGCCCCTCAAATGGTGGGACAACAGTGGAGGATGGCGGGAGGAGAGGAAGGGAGAGGCAAGGATTCATGTCAGGGTCATTCACAATGCAGGAGACCAACACAGCAAACCCCTCCCTGTTCAGTGATTCATGCTATGATGGAAGGCGTGCGAGAGACAGCCGGTCTTGTGAATCACGTACTTTCACAGTTGGCTTTTTTGCACTGTATTTGTGGGCTGTTTGGCCCTACGGCCTCCTCCGGCCGCCCTTCCCCTCAGGTAACACCCATCTGCCCCAGCACAGGTTCCTCCATGGCTGCCGAGCAGGCCCCCGGCCTCCTCCCCTCCCCTGCCCTCCCTTCTCTCCCTGCTGTTTCTCACTCTTTTTCTGCTTCTCCGCTGTTTCTGCCCCTTCTCAAACTCATTTTCTCAGCGGCGGCACCACACGCTTCCCTGAGGGGCTGCGGTCTTCGTGGAACCAGCTGGAACTGGCCGGAACCGGCTGGAACCGGCCGGAACCAGCCGTGCCCCTCAGCTCCCCTCACAGAGGCCCCTGTGGCCCACAGGCCCGGCAGCTGTGCCCAGACACCCCGTGCACGTTCACAAAGACTTCATTCTTCCTACCTCGGAGTCTTTGGGGGTTCCCTGTGGTGTCCCTCGCCCGTGGGACACACGCAGGGTCTAGCAGCCATTCCTCCCGCCGCCCGCAGGCCTTCGGCTGGAAGCTCTGTCAGGAGAGGCCGGAGGAGACGAGGCTCTAAACTGGAGAAACTTCTGAGGTAGGGGGCTGGAAGGAAGGCACAGCCATTTTCTGGAGCTGCTTTTCACACATTGTCATTGATATATGGTTGTTAATCCTTTCACTCCCTACTTTCCTACCCCACACATTTACCTGGGGGGGTAATTTACCGGGGCAAGGAGTTCTCAGGGTGGCAGCCAGCAAGGCAGAGAGAGAGAGAAGTCCTCAGCAAACTTCCAAATTTATATTGGGTGCGAAATAGTCCTGTTGGCAGCTTGGGTCAAGTGCACATGGACTCGCTCCTCCTCATCCCTGTACCTGGTGAGCTTGAAAACACTGAGACCCTGAAACCCACATACCATAGCTGGCTATAAAGTAAATATATTCACCAGTTCAGACATTAGAATCTTCGAAAACTTCAGTTTTCCCGAGCATTAGAGGAGACTTCACTGCAAAGTAAAATTACTGAAAAAGAAATTAGTCTTGTGTCACTCAAAACAGGACACTGTGTCACTGTTGTTAGGTACCATTGCCATTTTGCTGTTTGGGCTGATTTCTGTCCTCCCATTCCTCTTTTCTTTGTTATCCCTGAAAGGAGGAGGTTTCCAGCCTTCCCCTCCGATCCAGCCTTCTTGGTGCTTGTTTGCACGTCTGGGCACATGCTTCCTCTTGCTGGTGAGTGCAATCGGATGCTTCTCATTGCTTTTGAAAACTGAAATCAACAGCGCTACTGAGTTACGTGTAACAGCAGTCGTCCATCACCCTGAGGGGAATTGGCATTTTGGCGTCAGTAATTCCACTCTCTGGTCCAGCGTTGAGGCCACCAACACAAGAGCCTATCATCAGATGTTGTGTGGAGTAATTCGTTTAGTTTTGCCGTTGATGTTTCTCCATCTTCTCCTTCTCGTTAGCGCCTAAAACATACACAGAGCAGTATCAGTTAGGAGAGACTGATATTCTTATCACTGCCTTCCTGCCTCATGTTCTTCTCCGGGCATGTATCAAACCCACCACATGTTGTACCCAGAGTTTTTCTTTCTGTGAACAGCAGAGCAGCAATATTTTTTTAAAATCTACTCCCCTCTCAGGAGTAACCCAAGAGGGTCAGAGGATTTGTTGTGCAATAGAGAGCCTCTGAAGAGTAAACCAAAGACTGCAGTTAGGAGACATCTCCTGCAGAAAGAAGGTGGACGTGTCACCTCACTGAAGAGCGGCATCAAGTTGAGCTCAGAGGAACTGTTCCCTAAATGTATTTAACCTGAAATTTGCTAAGTTTAGTTAGTATGATAGAACAAAAAGTCACCTTTCCCTACCACGACAGCTGCACTCTTGTTCTTCCTATCTTGTCTCGTGTTCTCTTGTCACTTCTTGAATATCTACATTTTCCGTTTGGGTGCAATAAAACTTTCCACTTTGTTTTCCAAACCTTCCAGGTTGCTGTCCATTTCACTGCCAGGGGTTGTGGGGTGGCACTTTCCTACCCCAAGTAGAAACAGCAGAATAATAAGACAGTAATTTGAAATTTGTTGTAATTTTGACATCGTAAATAGCAATAGCAATTTAATTCTACTCTGGGATGACATCCATTCTCCTAAGGTAAAACCTAGGTGAATGCTGTATTGAGGTTTATATCTAACACGGCAGATGCCATGTAGAGTGTCCAAGAGCCCATGCATCGGCCTTTGCCCAGCCCTTTCCTTGGCTGAATTCCTTGAATTAACCCCACTCGAATTTCTGCGACCAGTCAGCTTTCCTTTCCAGGATGTGTCCCATGATTTGAGATGTTCTCACTCAGGGACCATGCCCCGTTTCCTGAGCTGAGGGTGAAGGAGGGGGCAAAGGCCCCTTTGCTGCTCTGCAAGCGAGTTTGGAAGGGGCATGAAAGCAATAGAAATGAGGGTCAGTGAATTCTGCCATGGAGGCACGTTCAGGAATGAGAATGTCCTTGACCAGCATGAGTCTGTGTTCTCCAATACCTTATGCCTCCCTCTGTGATTCCCCCAAAAGACATCCTAGATTTCTTCTGTCCAGGGCTTCATGGGCATCCCCAGGGATTTGGAGCAGATGCCAGGAGAGAGGTTCTGAAAATTCTTGTCTGCACCTGCAGCCGGGGCACAGCTTTTGCTGCCCAGCCTTGCAGAGACCCCTCTGCTGTGTGGGACTGTGCAGTGTGTGCCTTCCTCAGCTGCTCCTGAAGTTCTGAATTGTTGGCTGTAGACTGAGAGGTGAGAGACAAGAGCAAAGGAAGACCAGGCAGAGCGATTTTAAAATGCTGTTTATGAGACTTGGCCCCCAAAGTGAGTGACAGTAAGTGAAGTAATCCAGCCCCATAGACAGCTCTCATGCTTTACCATGGAGGAGTCTACATAAACAAATAGAAGTGCATTTAAATTTGGGGCTCAGATGTGGGGCAAGCACCATGGCAGGGTATAGCCCTAAATTAGAGTAATACATGGCCTTTGCCTTCCACTCCTGGAGTCTGGGGTGCAGTGGTTCAAAGGAAGCTTTATGTGCTTCCTCTCTTTTTCCATCTATCTCCATTTCAAAAAGTGGTTGGGCAAAATAAGGGAGAAATTTTGTCATCTGCTGTGTCTTCAAAGGCCCTCTGGAATGTCTGCCTGAGGGTCAGTTTGGCTCCTGGGCATAGTGCTTCCAGGCTTTTCAGGAGAAAGGGCCTTGTGATGGCTGCCGTGGCTACCTGACTCTGCTTCAGCTTTCTCTCTTGAACCTGAAAGAGAAGGTGTTTGCCCAGAGATCATGTCCTGTGGTCAGGGGACTCCCCTCACAATCTCATCACATCAGTGACAGCTTCCCCTCGTATGTCCCATGAACTTGTCAGTAGGAGCTGGCCACGTTGCCCCTTCTTCTCCTCCTGCCATCCTCCAGTGTTGTCCCACCAAGTGAGGGGCTTCTGGCTTTCCCTGTGTGTCCCTGGCAATGGACCAGGAGACCCTCCACATGGGGAAATCACCAGGGTGAGGACAAGCAACAGCACAGGGCTTCACCCAGTGCCTCTGATGAAGGTCCCCAAGCATGTGGCCTTAGAGATTGTGCCTGTGGGTTACATGGGGCTGCAAACGGGATTTTATCTGCCAGATTCTTGTCTCACCAAAACTCATTGTTCAGCACCATGAGACAGCTCACTTGTCTCTCTATTTCTTTTGCTTTCCCATTCTCTCTCTTGCTTTTTGGCTTTCTCTCTCCCTTTCATGCTCACTTGTTTTCTATCTCTCCATCTCGCTCTCCCATTCTCTCTTTCTTTCCTTCTTTTCTTCTGTCTTTCTGTTTCTTTTACATTCTCCAACTGTAGTTTTACCCTATAATTTATTCTCTACACCACTAATCTTTCTCTATTCCTTTCTTTCTCTTTTTCTTTCTCATTTTCTCTTATTTCTTTCTTTCTGTCTTCTTCCTTTCTTCCTTTCTTTTATTTCTTTTCTGTCCATTTCTTTCTTTCTGTCTTCTTCCTTTCTTCTTTTCTTTTATTTCTTTTATTCCTTTTCTTTTTTCCTGATTGTCATGGTTTATTCCCTACCAGCATCTAGGAACATGCAGCCATTTTCTCATTTCTCCCCCTCCCTGTCCAGAAGGGTAGGGAGAAGAGGGGAAAAAAGATGGGGAAAATGGAAAATAAACACTTTGTGAGTTCAGATAAAGGCAGTTTAATAGAACAATGATGGAAAAGAAAAATAGCAATAATAATAGTAATAATGCTAAAAGAACACGCAACATAAAGTATTACAATGCAAATTACTCTGACTGCCCAATGATCAATTGTCCAGTCCATCCCGAGCAGCAATTCCCAAACCTGAGCCAACCCCCATTTCTATACTGAGAGAACATTTATGGTACACAGTATGCCTTTGGCCAGCTTGTCCTGTCCACGTTCCCTCTCAGTTTCTGTGGGAAGCTGAAAGAAGTCCTTCAATAATATAAATATGACCTGGCAACAATTAAAACAATATGCATTATCAACAGTCTTTCTATCCCAAATTTGAAACACAGCAGCCACTACAAAGTGAGTTAACTCTTTCCCAGCTGAAACCAGGACAGTCATTCTCCAAACTGTAATTTTACCTTATGCCTTATTCACTACACCACTCCTCAACCCATCACTCACCAGAAACCCTTGGCTTGACCATTTTTGCAATCCCTTTTACCAAGCCCTGCCTTCTTTGGCCAGCAGAGATGGCCAGAGCTCCCCAAGGTACAAATATGTCAGACCTTCCCCTGGCAGGTGATCCCCCCAAACACCACAGAACTCATCAGCTGCTGAGCAAAGGGGCCAGAGTTTATTCGCTGGGGCCAGAGCAATGAGGATCATGGCAAGGGGAAAGCAGGGCGGGCAGAGGGACGGATCCCGGCTGAGCAGTGCAGCGCTGGCTGTGTGCTACGTGTCCCCACGCCTCCACCTCCTTCTGGCTGTCTGCGAGGGACCACATCTCCAGGGATCCTCACCAGCAGTGTCTTATACAGTGGTCTCCATCATAGTGTCCTCAGGTGCACGGCTCTCCTCCTCACTTGTCACTTTCTCTTCAAACACTCGTCGTAGGGCGACTTTCACAGAGCCCTGGAACCGGCGTTTCTGGCAGCTCCCCACCAGGAAGTAAATGACTGGGTTGATGCTGCTGTTCAGCAATGCCAGCAGAAGAGGTATGTTTTCAGGAAATAATTCATGCGAACTTGGAAGTTTGAGGAAAACATCTACACTGAAAGGAATCCCAAGGGCGAAGAAGAAGATCACGTTGAGCAGGACAGCAACATAGAGCTTCCCCGGGTGTCGCCTCTGTGAGCCACAGCAGAGTTTGATGAACAGGAACACGTTGGAAATAAACATCATTGCTGACAAAATAATGGAGATTGCAATGGCTACACCTGCAAATGCTGTCTCATAGCCTTCAGCGAAGTTAAAGCTAAGATACAGTGAGGAAACAAAACACCCAGCAAGAGCCCAGAGCACCCCGCTCACAACACTTGATAAGTGCTTTGGACGGTGGCAGCGATACCAGAATGGGAAGAGGACAGAGATACAGCGCTCCACGCTGATCGCTGTCAGGAGACCCAGGCTGCTGAGGTCAAAGAGGTGGCTTAGAAATTCAACTACAGATACAAAATGGATGTAGAAATAAATAAAAGGGGACAAATAAGAGCAAAACGACACAAAGGTCAAAATTGCCAGTAGGAGCAGAAAAAACAGGAGGAGCAGAGAGAAGTCAGCAACAGCTAGATTTAGGATGTAGACATTGAAGGGGCTCTTCTTCATGTGGAAGCCAAGGAACCACATGACAATCCCATTCCACACAAGTCCACAAAGAGAAATCCCCATACAGACCCCTGCAAAGATCATCAGTCCGTGAGGTAGTCTTGAGCATTCGTATTCCATATTTTCCCCATAGTCCACATATCCAGAAGTTGTGTAGTTCAGAGAGAGGTCAGTTGTATTGGTCTCGACCATGGTGAATGACCCTGCTCTGGGTGGCCGCCTTCTCCCTCTCCTATCATCTCCTAGGAAAGACCAGGAATCAGAAGGAAATGAGGATCAGCGGCATTCCCAGCACTTGCCACCTTTCCCCACAGCCCCCTGCCAGCCTCAGGCTATGCCAGGAAGGACCCTGTCCCCTGCTGTGTCCAGGACAGGCTCCCACCCCTCCAGTCCTATCCCTGGACAGGAGGTATCTTCCACCTGGCCATCGCCAGCCTCCTACCTCCTGCTTCTGCTGGGAACAGTGCTGGTGCAGGTGCTCCAGCAGACAGGATCTCGGCAGGGCCAGACTTGCCACAACAAAGAGGGTGTTGATGGCTGCTGGGATCACCCGCTCCGCTTTGTCCTCCTTTCCCGTGCCTGACGACCAGATCTTTGCCCAGAGATCACATCCCATTGTCAGGAGACTGTCCTCACAATCTGATCACATCAGTGACAGCTTCCCCTCACATGTCCCGTGGACAGAGATCTTGTCAGTAGGAGTTGGTCACATCATTTCCTTCCTCTCCTCCTCCCAGTTTTTCAACAGGAGGCTCTGATCTGTTATGATGCCGTTAAGAAAGGCACTCAGACTCCATAAAGTATGATTTAAAACACCATTTACAAGATCTAAAACTATGAAGAGGGAGGGGGTAGCACAGATAATGTTATGTCTCTTCATGGGCTGGGAACCCACATCTTGCAGCACCAAACAGACCTCTGATGAGGGGATGTTCATGTGAGAACTGTTGTAGCAATCTCAGGTAAAGGCAAGAACATGCAGGTGGTGTAATCACCAGCACCCAGTGGGAGCTACCTGCAGGCTCCTCTCTTTCCATCAACTGACCAGCTTTAACTCATGGCCAAGGAAGAGGCAGAGCACGGCACAGCACGGCATGGACCAGCACAGGCCTGAGACTCTGCAGGTTGAGTGTTTAGTGGATCACTAACTTCCTGATTATAAAGGTCTTCTGGTCAGGATCTCTACACCCCAGTCCTCCGTCTTCAGGTCTCCGTGCTGGGATTTAATGGGTGTTGCTGTGCAAAGCTGATGGTGGAAGAATTCTCCAAGCTCTCTTCTGTTGCTTTATTGTCCTTACGGCCTGCATCGCCGGGGGGATGATGGGGAAGAGATTGGGCAGGGCAAGATGGAGACAGAAACATGAGAATGAGTGAGATGAGCCAGGGACTACCACCAACAGGGACAAACCAGCAGAAAACACTTGGAAGTCCCTGATAGTCCCATGGCCATAACACTTTGTCTTCTTCCCTGTCATTCCTCAGGTGCAGCGCCACTCCTGGTCCTGCTCTTCCCTTCCTCTGCCCCACCAAGCAACACCTACACCCACTCCAGGTACCTGGAATGTCAACAGAGGCCCCTCAACAGCAGCCAAGGAGGCAGAGCACTGGCCTTGTCTCAACTTGCCATGACAAATCACCACAATTCAGACACAGAACAGCACGAGGGCTTTGCCCACTGCTTCAGATCACATCCCTGACACGCATGTGTCTCCTCTCAGATTACACTGTGTGGGGTACACTGTGCTGCAAATGTGCTCTTATCTACAAGTGGTTCCTCTCACGCCGTCTCACCCTGGAGCCTCACAGGGCCTGATATTTTCATTGCTTATTTTCTCTCCTTCTTTCCTGGATTTTCCGTCTTTTGAATGACTCCATCCCCTGCCATGGTAATTGTAAAAGGTGAAGGTGGTAATTGCTGGGAACACCACTGCCCCTCAGGGGACCAATCCTTTGGATTCCTGGTCTCTCCTAGGTGGTGGTGGGAGAGGGAATAGGCCTGGGGACACTGCAGTGGTGGAGACCGCATGTGATGTGGTCCCTCACAGACAGCCAGAAGGAGGTGGAGGCGTGGGGACACGTAGCACACAGCCAGCGCTGCACTGCTCAGCCGGGATCCGTCCCTCTGCCCGCCCTGCTTTCCCCTTGCCATGATCCTCATTGCTCTGGCCCCAGCGAATAAACTCTGGCCCCTTTGCTCAGCAGCTGATGAGTTCTGTGGTGTTTGGGGGGATCTCTTGGCAGGGGAAGGTCTGACACATTTGTACCGTGGGGAGCTCTGGCCATCTCTGCTGGCCAAGCAAGGCAGGGCTCAGCAAAAGGGATTGCAAAAAGCAAAAAGGAGCAAGTCAACAGGGTGAAGAAGGTGGTGAGAGACTCGGAGGCCATCATTGCTGCATTAGGAACTAACCAGCTGGGAAAATTTTTTGGTATGTTGAGGTCTTCCTCATCAGGACGGCTAACTAGCCTCTACCAATCTTCAATAATGATTACCGTTCTGGTTATCAGGATTTCTGTTTTGATAAGCTGCATTGAGAGTGCAATAGTGAGATCTCTATCAATCATGGAGGATACTCCCTGAAAACCCGTTTGTGTAATGGATGTCCCAACGCAACCTTAGGACAAGCAAGAAACAGTGATCCATGGAGAGCATCAAGCTCCCCAAGACTGTGTTCCCTTTTAAATTTGGAGGCAAGAGATAACTGTACCACCGCTCCAAAACCAGATGTTAATCATGACTGTGATCAAGGGCTGGATCCTATGGCAGGTGAAACAGTCTCGATAGGGACAGACATTTCTCAAAAACCCGGAAGTTGTGGGGTGGGGGTCAGGTCACCCTGTCCACCCGGTGATCACCATCACGTAAACACTGCGGCCGAAAGACAAGGAAGTTAAGGCCCCGAACCAATGAGGACTAACATATCCAAATATGACCACAGATAAGATTCGCTGAGGGCATATATGGAGCCTGACCAGGAGGCAAATTGAATCAGTCCTCCTCTTAGCAGCCAGTCTGCAGTCGAATGCTCTCCCTGTGGCTCGGGGCACCGTCCATGGTCCCTCCTGCAAGTTGAGAGCCCTCATCTTAAGAGGTGAGTGATTGCGCATTTTGGGTCATGGTTCCTAGAGCGTAAGGACTCTTGGGTGGGCCGTGCAGTATTAACTCCATTGAGCATCTTGAGCCTGTTGATTGTTTGTTTGATTATATTTGTGAGAGTCTTAAAGAGTTTTGGTTAGCATACCATTTCTTTTGAGTTTATCCCCTCCCTAATGTAATTTTTTAACAAGTCTCTGTGACAGATGCCTCCCATGCAGGAAGAGGACTGGCGGGATGGGAGCCTGTCCTGGACACGGCAGGGGATGGGGTCCTTCCTGGGGCTGGCGTGGGGCCATGGGGAAAGGTGGCAAGTGCTGGGAATGTGCTGCCCCTCATTTCCTTCTGATTCCTGGTCTCTCCTAGGAGGCGGTGGGAGAGGGAGGAGGTGGCCATCCGGAGCTGGGTCATTCACCATGGTCGAGACCAACACAACAAATCTCTCACTGTACCACATGGATTCTGGACATAATTGCACTGAGCAAGATATGCACGATGGGTGCAAAACATGTGATTATACACTGGTGATAATTTCAGGTGTTTTTATTGTTGTTTGCCTGTGTGGACTTGCGGGGAATATGGTGGTTGTGTGGTTCCTGGGCTTCCACATGAAGAAGAACCGCTTCACTGTCTATGTCCTGAACCTGGCCATTGCTGACTTCTCTCTGCTCCTCTTCGTTCTTGGGATACTTACAGTAAACATTCTTTCAGCAGTAAAATGTTGTAACAGGCATGAATATGAGTGGCTCAGTACTATCCTGAAGCTTGTGTTTTTCTTTTGGTATTTCGTCAGCATGTATCTCCTGACAGCAATGAGCATGGAGAGGTGCCTCTCTGTTTTGTGCCCAGTCTGGTATCGGTGTCATCGCCCAAAGCACTTATCAGGCATCGTGTGTGGGGTGCTCTGGGCTGTCACTGGACTATTTCTTGCTTTGGCTTCGATTACTTGTATTTTATTTAATTATACCAAGTGCGAAATTGTAAATATGGGTTTAAATATTGTAAATTTTCTCATTTTCTGTTTACTCCCACTCCTTTCCAACCTTTCCCTCTTCATCAGAGTCCGTTGTGGCTCACAGAGACGACACCCAGGAAAGCTCTATGTTGCTCTCCTCCTCAGTGTGATGTTCATGTTCATCTTTGGCCTTCCTCTCATCATATTGATTTTGCTCCATAACCTAGTTAAATCCCTATGTATAATTTATATTGGTTACCTGCTGGCATCACTGAACAGCAGCATCAACCCAGTCATTTACTTCCTGGTGGGGAGCTGCCGGAAACGCCGGTTCCAGAGCTCCATGAAAGCCGCCCTACGACGAGTGTTTGAAGAGAAAGTGACAAGCGAGGAGCAGAGCCACGTGCCTGGGGATGCTACGGTGGAAACCAGTGTATAAGACACTGCTGGTGAGAAGCCCTGGAGATGCGGCCCCTCGCAGACAGCCAGAAGGAGGTGGAGGCGTGGGGACACGTAGCACACAGCCAGCGCTGCACTGCTCAGCCGGGATCCATCCCTCTGCCCGCCCTGCTTTCCCCTTGCCATGATCCTCATTGCTCTGGACACAGCGAATAAACTCTGGCCCCTTTGCTCAGCAGCTGATGAGTTCTGTGGTGTTTGGGGGGATCTTTGGCCTGGGGAAGCTCTGACACATTCGTACCTTGGGGAGCTCTGGCCATCTCTGCTGGCCAAGGAAGGCAGGGGTCTGCAAAAAGGATCGTAAATGGGCAACCCAAAAGATCCTTGTGGGTTACTAAGGGACTAGTTCTGTAGAAAGGAAGACATAGGGTAAAATTACAGTTTGAAGAAAGCAAAAGAATGGGAAAGAGAGAAGCAAAAGGGGAAATAAAGAGAGAAAATGAGATACAGAAAATGAGAAAGGAGGAGAGGAAGGAAAAAAAAAAGCAAGAGAGAGGATGGGAGAGCAAAAGAAATACAGGGACAAGTGAGCTGTCTGGCGGTGCTGAAGAATGAGATTTGGTGAGACAAGAATCTGGCAGATAAAATCCTGTTTGCAGTCCCATGTAACCCACAGGCACATCTCTAAGGCCACTCACCTGAGCAGTTTTGTCAGAGGCACTGGGTGAAGCCCTTGTGCTGTTGCTTGTCCTCACCCTGGTGATTTCCCCATGGGGAGGGTCTCCTGGTCCAGCATCAGGTGCACACGGGGAAAGCCAGAAGCCCCTCAAATGGTGGGACAACAGTGGAGGATGGCGGGAGGAGAGGAAGGGAGAGGCAAGGATTCATGTCAGGGTCATTCACAATGCAGGAGACCAACACAGCAAACCCCTCCCTGTTCAGTGATTCATGCTATGATGGAAGGCGTGCGAGAGACAGCCGGTCTTGTGAATCACGTACTTTCACAGTTGGCTTTTTTGCACTGTATTTGTGGGCTGTTTGGCCCTACGGCCTCCTCCGGCCGCCCTTCCCCTCAGGTAACACCCATCTGCCCCAGCACAGGTTCCTCCATGGCTGCCGAGCAGGCCCCCGGCCTCCTCCCCTCCCCTGCCCTCCCTTCTCTCCCTGCTGTTTCTCACTCTTTTTCTGCCTCTCCGCTGTCCTCTGCCCCTTCCCAAACTCGTTTTCTCAGCGGCGGGCCCACACACTCCCCTGAGGGGCTGCAGCCTTCGTGGAACCGGCTGGAACCGGCTGGAACCGGCTGGAACCGGCTAGAACCGGCCGTGCCCCGGGCGGGGCAGCCCCTCAGCTCCCCTCACAGAGGCCCCTGTGGCCCACAGGCCCGGCAGCTGTGCCCAGACACCCCGTGCACGTTCACAAAGACTTCATTCTTCCTACCTCGGAGTCTTTGGGGGTTCCCTGTGGTGTCCCTCGCCCGTGGGACACACGCAGGGTCTAGCAGCCATTCCTCCCGCCGCCCGCAGGCCTTCGGCTGGAAGCTCTGTCAGGAGAGGCCGGAGGAGACGAGGCTCTAAACTGGAGAAACTTCTGAGGTAGGGGGCTGGAAGGAAGGCACAGCCATTTTCTGGAGCTGCTTTTCACACATTGTCATTGATATATGGTTGTTAATCCTTTCACTCCCCTCTTCCTACTTTCCTACCCCACACATTTACCTGAGGCGCGCCAGAACCCTCTGGGCATGGCCAAGATTCCAGTTAGGCCTTGTGTTACGGTTTGAGGAGACTTCACTGCAAAGTAAAATTACTGAAAAAGAAATTAGTCTTGTGTCACTCAAACCAGGACACTGTGTCGCTGTTGTTAGGTACCATCGCCATTTTGCTGTTTGGGCTGATTTCTGTCCTCCCATTCCTCTTTTCTTTGTTATCCCTGAAAGGAGGAGGTTTCCAGCCTTCCCCTCCGATCCAGCCTTCTTGGTGCTTGTTTGCACGTCTGGGCACATGCTTCCTCTTCCACATGCACATGCTGGCGAGTGCAATCGGATGCTTCTCATTGCTTTTGAAAACTGAAATCAACAGCGCTACTGAGTTACGTGTAACAGCAGTCGTCCATCACCCTGAGGGGAATTGGCATTTTGGCGTCAGTAATTCCACTCTCTGGTCCAGCGTTGAGGCCACCAACACAAGAGCCTATCATCAGATGTTGTGTGGAGTAATTTGTTTAGTTTTGCCGTTGATGTTTCTCCATCTTCTCCTTCTCATTAGCGCCTAAAACATACACAGAGCAGTATCAGTTAGGAGAGACTGATATTCTTATCACTGCCTTCCTGCCTCATGTTCTTCTCAGGGCATGTATCAAACCCACCACATGTTGTACCCAGAGTTTTTCTTTCTGTAAACAGCAGAGCAGCAATATTTTTTTAAAATCTACTCCCCTCTCAGGAGTAACCCAAGAGGGTCAGAGGATTTGTTGTGCAATAGAGAGCCTCTGAAGAGTAAACCAAAGACTGCAGTTAGGAGACATCTCCTGCAGAAAGAAGGTGGACGTGTCACCTCACTGAAGAGCGGCATCAAGTTGAGCTCAGAGGAACTGTTCCCTAAATGTATTTAACCTGAAATTTGCTAAGTTTAGTTAGTATGATAGAACAAAAAATCACCTTTCCATATCCTTCTGGCTGTCTGCGAGGGGCCACATCTCCAGGGCTTCTCACCAGCAGTGTCTTATACAGTGGTCTCCACCATAGTGTCCTCAGGTGCACAGCTCTCCTCCTCGCTCACCACTTTCTCTTCAAACACTCGTCGTAGGGCGACCTTCACAGAGCCCTGGAACCGGCATTTCCGGCAGCTCCCCACCAGGAAGTAAATGACTGGGTTGATGCTGCTGTTCAGCAATGCCAGCAGAAGAGGTATGTTTTCAGGAAATAATTCATGCAAACTTGGAAGTTTGAGGAAAACGTCTACACTGAAAGGAATCCCAAGGGCGAAGAAGAAGATCACGTTGAGCAGGACAGCAACATAGAGCTTCCCCGGGTGTCGCCTCTGTGAGCCACAGCAGAGTTTGATGAACAGGAACACGTTGGAAATAAACATCATTGCTGACAAAATAATGGAGATTGCAATGGCTACACCTGCAAATGCTGTCTCATAGCCTTCAGCGAAGTTAAAGCTAAGATACAGTGAGGAAACAAAACACCCAGCAAGAGCCCAGAGCACCCCGCTCACAACACTTGATAAGTGCTTTGGACGGTGGCAGCGTGGTGGGAGAGGGAATAGGCCTGGGGACACTGCAGTGGTGGAGACCGCATGTGATGTGGCCCCTCACAGACAGCCAGAAGGAGGTGGAGGCGTGGGGACACGTAGCACACAGCCAGCGCTGCACTGCTCAGCCGGGATCCATCCCTCTGCCTGCCCTGCTTTCCCCTTGCCATGATCCTCATTGCTCTGGCCCCAGCGAATAAACTCTGGCCCCTTTGCTCAGCAGCTGATGAGTTCTGTGGTGTTTGGGGGGATCTCTTGGCAGGGGAAGCTCTGACACATTTGTACCGTGGGGAGCTCTGGCCATCTCTGCTGGCCAAGCAAGGCAGGGCTCAGCAAAAGGGATTGCAAAAAGCAAAAAGGAGCAAGTCAACAGGGTGAAGAAGGTGGTGAGAGACTCGGAGGCCATCATTGCTGCATTAGGAACTAACCAGCTGGGAAAATTTTTTGGTATGTTGAGGTCTTCCTCATCAGGACAGCTAACTAGCCTCTACCAATCTTCGATAATGATTACAGTTCTGGTTATCAGGATTTCTGTTTTGATAAGCCGCATTGAGAGTGCAATAATGAGATCTCTATCAATCATGGAGGATACTCCCTGAAAACCCGTTTGTGTAATGGATGTCCCAACGCAACCTTAGGACAAGCAAGAAACAGTGATCCATGGAGAGCATCAAGCTCCCCGAGACTGTGTTCCCTTTTAAATTTGGAGGCAAGAGATAACTTAGGTACCATCGCCATTTTGCTGTTTGGGCTGATTTCTGTCCTCCCATTCCTCTTTTCTTTGTTATCCCTGAAAGGAGGAGGTTTCCAGCCTTCCCCTCCGATCCAGCCTTCTTGGTGCTTGTTTGCACGTCTGGGCACATGCTTCCTCTTCCACATGCACATGCTGGCGAGTGCAATCGGATGCTTCTCATTGCTTTTGAAAACTGAAATCAACAGCGCTACTGAGTTACGTGTAACAGCAGTCGTCCATCACCCTGAGGGGAATTGGCATTTTGGCGTCAGTAATTCCACTCTCTGGTCCAGCGTTGAGGCCACCAACACAAGAGCCTATCATCAGATGTTGTGTGGAGTAATTTGTTTAGTTTTGCCGTTGATGTTTCTCCATCTTCTCCTTCTCATTAGCGCCTAAAACATACACAGAGCAGTATCAGTTAGGAGAGACTGATATTCTTATCACTGCCTTCCTGCCTCATGTTCTTCTCAGGGCATGTATCAAACCCACCACATGTTGTACCCAGAGTTTTTCTTTCTGTAAACAGCAGAGCAGCAATATTTTTTTAAAATCTACTCCCCTCTCAGGAGTAACCCAAGAGGGTCAGAGGATTTGTTGTGCAATAGAGAGCCTCTGAAGAGTAAACCAAAGACTGCAGTTAGGAGACATCTCCTGCAGAAAGAAGGTGGACGTGTCACCTCACTGAAGAGCGGCATCAAGTTGAGCTCAGAGGAACTGTTCCCTAAATGTATTTAACCTGAAATTTGCTAAGTTTAGTTAGTATGATAGAACAAAAAATCACCTTTCCATATCCTTCTGGCTGTCTGCGAGGGGCCACATCTCCAGGGCTTCTCACCAGCAGTGTCTTATACAGTGGTCTCCACCATAGTGTCCTCAGGTGCACAGCTCTCCTCCTCGCTCACCACTTTCTCTTCAAACACTCGTCGTAGGGCGACCTTCACAGAGCCCTGGAACCGGCATTTCCGGCAGCTCCCCACCAGGAAGTAAATGACTGGGTTGATGCTGCTGTTCAGCAATGCCAGCAGAAGAGGTATGTTTTCAGGAAATAATTCATGCAAACTTGGAAGTTTGAGGAAAACGTCTACACTGAAAGGAATCCCAAGGGCGAAGAAGAAGATCACGTTGAGCAGGACAGCAACATAGAGCTTCCCCGGGTGTCGCCTCTGTGAGCCACAGCAGAGTTTGATGAACAGGAACACGTTGGAAATAAACATCATTGCTGACAAAATAATGGAGATTGCAATGGCTACACCTGCAAATGCTGTCTCATAGCCTTCAGCGAAGTTAAAGCTAAGATACAGTGAGGAAACAAAACACCCAGCAAGAGCCCAGAGCACCCCGCTCACAACACTTGATAAGTGCTTTGGACGGTGGCAGCGTGGTGGGAGAGGGAATAGGCCTGGGGACACTGCAGTGGTGGAGACCGCATGTGATGTGGCCCCTCACAGACAGCCAGAAGGAGGTGGAGGCGTGGGGACACGTAGCACACAGCCAGCGCTGCACTGCTCAGCCGGGATCCATCCCTCTGCCTGCCCTGCTTTCCCCTTGCCATGATCCTCATTGCTCTGGCCCCAGCGAATAAACTCTGGCCCCTTTGCTCAGCAGCTGATGAGTTCTGTGGTGTTTGGGGGGATCTCTTGGCAGGGGAAGCTCTGACACATTTGTACCGTGGGGAGCTCTGGCCATCTCTGCTGGCCAAGCAAGGCAGGGCTCAGCAAAAGGGATTGCAAAAAGCAAAAAGGAGCAAGTCAACAGGGTGAAGAAGGTGGTGAGAGACTCGGAGGCCATCATTGCTGCATTAGGAACTAACCAGCTGGGAAAATTTTTTGGTATGTTGAGGTCTTCCTCATCAGGACAGCTAACTAGCCTCTACCAATCTTCGATAATGATTACAGTTCTGGTTATCAGGATTTCTGTTTTGATAAGCCGCATTGAGAGTGCAATAATGAGATCTCTATCAATCATGGAGGATACTCCCTGAAAACCCGTTTGTGTAATGGATGTCCCAACGCAACCTTAGGACAAGCAAGAAACAGTGATCCATGGAGAGCATCAAGCTCCCCGAGACTGTGTTCCCTTTTAAATTTGGAGGCAAGAGATAACTGTACCACCGCTCCAAAACCAGATGTTAATCATGACTGTGATCAAGGGCTGGATCCTATGGCAGGTGAAACAGTCTCGATAGGGACAGACATTTCTCAAAAACCCGGAAGTTGTGGGGTGGGGGTCAGGTCACCCTGTCCATCCGGTGATCACCATCACGTAAACACTGCGGCCGAAAGACAAGGAAGTTAAGGCCCCGAACCAATGAGGACTAACATAACCAAATATGACCACAGATAAGATTCGCTGAGGGCATATATGGAGCCTGACCAGGAGGCAAATTGAATCAGTCCTCCTCTTAGCAGCCAGTCTGCAGTCGAATGCTCTCCCTGTGGCTCGGGGCACCGTCCATGGTCCCTCCTGCAAGTTGAGAGCCCTCATCTTAAGAGGTGAGTGATTGCGCATTTTGGGTCATGGTTCCTAGAGCGTAAGGACTCTTGGGTGGGCCGTGCAGTATTAACTCCATTGAGCATCTTGAGCCTGTTGATTGTTTGTTTGATTATATTTGTGAGAGTCTTAAAGAGTTTTGGTTAGCATACCATTTCTTTTGAGTTTATCCCCTCCCTAATGTAATTTTTTAACAAGTCTCTGTGACAGATGCCTCCCATGCAGGAAGAGGACTGGCGGGATGGGAGCCTGTCCTGGACACGGCAGGGGATGGGGTCCTTCCTGGGGCTGGCGTGGGGTCATGGGGAAAGGTGGCAAGTGCTGGGAATGTGCTGCCCCTCATTTCCTTCTGATTCCTGGTCTCTCCTAGGAGGTGGTGGGAGAGGGAGGAGGTGGCCATCCGGAGCTGGGTCATTCACCATGGTCGAGACCAGCACAACTGACCTCTCTCCGAACTACACAGATTATGGATATGACTACACTGAGCAAGATATGCAATATTGGTGCATAACACATGATTATACACGGGTGATAATTTCAGGTGTTTTTATTGTTGTTTGCCTGTGTGGACTTGCGGGGAATATGGTGGTTGTGTGGTTCCTGGGCTTCCACATGAAGAAGAACCCCTTCACTGTCTATGTCCTGAACCTGGCCATCGCTGACTTCTCTCTGCTCCTCTTCGTTCTTGGGATACTTACAGTAAACATTCTTTCAGCAGTAGAATGTTTTAATTGGTATACATATGTGGTGTCCAGGTATAAGCTAATGGTTTTGTTTTTCTTTTGGTATTTGGCCAGCATGTATCTCCTGACAGCAATGAGCATGGAGAGGTGCCTCTCTGTTTTGTTCCCAGTCTGGTACCGCTCTCGCCGCCCAAAGCACTTATCAGGCATCGTGTGTGGGGTGCTCTGGGCTCTCGTTGCAATTATTGCTTCTTTGCTTTTAGTTAGTTGTTCCTTCCATTTCGATAGACGCTGTTCGAAAGTATTAAATGTTTTAAGCCCTCTGAATTTTCTCATTTTCTGTTTACTCCCACTCCTTTCCAACCTTACCATGTTCTTCAGACTCCGATGTGGCTCACAGAGACGACACCCAGGGAAGCTCTATGTTGCTGTCCTCCTCAGTGTCATATGCATGTTCATCTTTGGCCTTCCTCTCATTATATTGATTTTCATTTTCCATTTTGATAAACACATACCTACACTTTTTATTGGTTACCTGCTGGCATCACTGAACAGCAGCATCAACCCACTCATTTACTTCCTGGTGGGGAGCTTCTGGAAACGCCACTTCCAGGGCTCTGTGAAAGCCGCCCTACGACGAGTGTTTGAATACAAAGTCATCAGCGAGGACAGTAGACAGACGTCTGGGGAGACTGCAGTGGAGATCACTGTATAAGATACTGCTGGTGAGAAGCCCTGGAGATGTGGTCGCTCACAGACAGCCAGAAGGAGGTGGAGGCGTGGGGACACGTAGCACACAGCCAGCGCTGCACTGCTCAGCCGGGATCCATCCCTCTGCCCGCCCTGCTTTCCCCTTGCCATGATCCTCATTGCTCTGGCCCCAGCGAATAAACTCTGGCCCCTTTGCTCAGCAGCTGATGAGTTCTGTGGTGTTTGGGGGGATCTCTTGCCGGGAGAAGCTCTGACACATTTGTACCATGGGGAGCTCTGGCCATCTCTGCTGGCCATCTCTGCTGGCCAAGCAAGGCAGGGCTCAGCAAAAGGGATTGCAAAAGCAGTCAAGCCAAGGGGTGCTGATGAGTGATGGGTTGAGGAGTGGTGTAGAGAATAAGGCAGAGGATAAAATTGGAGAATGCAAAAGAAAGAGGAAGACAGATGGAAACAGGGAAAGAATGAGAAAGGTGGAGAGAGAGACCCAAAATGATGAAGAAAGGGCGAAAGAACGCAAAAAAGGAAGAGAGAGAATGGGAAAGCAAAGAAAATACAGCGACAAGTGAGCTGTCTCGTGGTGCTGATGCATAAGGTTTGGTGGGACAAGAATGTGGTAAATAAAATCCTATTTGTAGCCCCATGTAACCCAGAGGTGCAATCTCTAAGGCCACTTTCCCTGGGCAGTTCCATCAGAGGCATCGGGTGAAGGCCTTATGGTGCTGCATGTCCTCACCCTGGTGATTTCCCCATGTGAAGGGTCTTCTGGTCCAGTGCCAGGTGCACCCAGGGAAGAACAGAAGCACCTCACATGGTGGGGTGACACAGGAGTATGGTAGGTGGTGAGGAAGGGGGTGATGTGGCCGATTCCTACTGACAAGATCGCCGTCCATGGGACATGTGAGGGGAAGCTGTCACCAATGTGCTGAGATTGAGGGGGATCTCTTGATCAGAGGATGTAATCTCTGGGCAAAGGTCTGCTCCTTCAGGTGCAAGAGAGGAAGCAGAAGCAGAGCAAAGTGGCCCCAGCAGCCATCCCTGGCCACTTTCTTCTGGCGAGCCTGGCCCTACAGAGGATCTTTGTGCTGGAGCTCCTGCATCATCACTGTTCCCAGGAGAATCAGCTGGTAGGATGCCGGGGGTGGCCACGTGGGAGATGCCTCCTGTCCCAGGCCATATTTGGTGCTTGGGAACCCGTGGCCATCTCTGTTTTCTGATCAAGGCAGGATTGTAGAAAGGATTGCAAAAATGGGTACGTGACGGGTGCCAAGTGGGCATCTCACTGGTCTCTGTTGCCCCCGTGCTGAAGCGAAAGGCTGAGCATGGGGTAGAGGCCATTGCTGCCTTGGGAAGCAGCCTTGGGGCTTGTCCGCAGGGTCTTGTGGACCCCTCCCCTCCTCACCCTGGTTCCCTCAACGTGGAGGTGCTGCAACTCACCCCCACCAAAGACCCCTTCCCAGCCAACTGAATCCCTCTTTCTTCTTCCGAGGCTGCGCAGAGTCCCCGGAGCAGGAGTGGGAGACCCAGATCCTACTACTCACCCAAACCCGGGGCTCAGAAGTCTGCGGGGACATGTCCAGCACGGAGTTGGTGGTGATTTCACAACTATCTGCGAGGCTGATGCCTCTAGATGGCAGGAGAGGGTTATGGATTGCCCGGAACATCCTTGCTCTTCCATCTAAAGAGCTGGTCAGCAGAGCTGGCCATGCCCTCCTGGCTGATGGGACGACGAACAAACCAACACCAGGTCGAGCTGGAGAAGAAACAAGAGCATTCTCTTGTACGTCAAGTGGGAATTTGTCATGCTGTTTAATTTCTGGGTTAAATCGTTCTGAGGAAAGTGTGGGTTCGATAGCACTGGGGGATTACGAGTAGCACGGTCCCGGCGCTCACGGTTGTGCCAAGAATTTCACAGGAGGTGCTTCTTTCCGGCTGCGCTCCAGGGGAACGTGGCTTTTTGCAAGCGACAACGGCTGGATGATGCATCCCAGGCCAGCACTGCTCTGAGCTGCTTGGTTTTACCAGGTGGTTTGATGGGTTTAATTATCGTGGCTCTGCACCTGTACTCTGCCAAGTGATCAATTTGCATTCCAGCCTCTCTGGTGACATGTAACTCTGGGCTGAGGGACAAGCCCAGAATAGTTGTAGCTGTCCCATCCCTGGAGGTGTTCAAGGCCAGGCCGGACGGGGATTTGAGCAACCTGGTCTGTTGAGAGGTGTCCCTGGTCATGGCAGGGGGGGTTGGAACACAATGAGTTTTAAGGTCCCTCCCAACTCTAACCATTTTATGACTCTAAGGCAAAGGGTGGAGAAACTTCTGTCACAACTCCAGAGAGGAGCAGAGAAAATGCTGCCTCTACCACTTTTACCCAGCGAGTGCTGGTGCCAGGCTGCAGGGAGTCAGTCCTCATGGCCTCAACAGGGCTTTCTCCATAAAAAATCCTCTGTTTTCCTTCCCTCTCCCTTTATCTTCTTTGATGTGGAAAATATGTTCTTTACAGAGTCTTCAGGCAGAGCAAGGCTTTTGGCCTTGTCTCATTTTAACCCTACTCCTCTTGTTTTTCTAGACGAGGAGCAAACACACCAGGAATGGATATGGACCTCAGGCCATGGTGGCGAAATGGCATTTGCTCAAGCCAACGACGCCGACAACAGCCCGGAGAAAAGTGGGAGGAACCACCAGAGGCAGTTCCAGTCAATAACCCTTGCGTGCAGACCACCCACATGATACGCAGACAAAAGTCAGGTTGCAGTAATACATTTCAGGGAATGCCTTCCAGGGGCAATCCTAAACATGTGTCAATTTGCCTGGTAAGAAAGCTGAATGCGAAGCCTTCACATATTCGGACAAGATGATCTTTAAGGTCCCTTCCAACCTAGAAGATTCTTCCCGCAGTTTGGCACCCTCTGGAGATGCACACACAAGGCTTTGCCCAGCAATCATTCTCCCCTGCTGTGCCAAGCTGTCTTATCCACCACAGTCTTTGCAAGAGCCAGTAACCAAAATCAGCAATGAAGAAGGTGAAGAAGAAGACAGTTAGTTGTCAGGACGGCTAACTAGCCTCCACCAATCTTTGATAATGTTTACAGTTCTGGTTATCAGGATTTCTATTTTGATAAGCTGCATTGAGAGTGCAATAGTGAGATCTCTATCAATCATGGAGGATACTCCCTGAAAACCCGTTTGTGTAATGGATGTCCCAACGCAACCTTAGGACAAGCAAGAAACAGTGATCCATGGAGAGCATCAAGCTCCCCGAGACTGTGTTCCCTTTTAAATTTGGAGGCAAGAGATAACTGTATGTCGTGGTTTTGACCGAATTGACCAACCAGAACGACAGATGGCCCCTCCCCTCCCCCCCCCTAAGGAAAAGAGAGGAGAGGAAGAGGGGGATAAAAAAAACCGTATCAAGCTCCCAGGATAATGATCATGTCACCAGCAGACGCAGAGAAAGTCCCAGGCCGGACTCGATGATGGACAGGAGCCAGATTCTGGATCTGGAGTCAGGAACGCTCAGATCGGGATCAAAGGCAGACGAACAGACAGGGTCCTCCTCGGACGTCAGCCATTGAAGGAAGAAGAGTTGACCCTTTGATCCCTCAGCTTTTATACTGAGCATGATGCAGATGGGATGGAATACCCTGTTGGTCAGTTTTGGGTCACCTGTCCTATCCGTTCCTCCCTACAGGTGTGACCCCTCGACGCTTTTCCGCTTCCGACCCTCCAACGGGGCAAATAACAAATTTACCATTCCTTGGTATAATCAGGTCTTATCACTATGAGAGTGAACAGTTTCTGAACAATATGCTGTTAATTTCAGAGTTTAGTTAGTCCGAAGAGGCCCAGCTCAAAAAGTAAAATTACTGAACAGGAAATTAGTTCTGTTTTACCTCAAACCAGGACACTGTACCACCGCTCCAAAAAAAGCAGTTGAATCGTGACAGTGGTCAAGGGCTGGATCCTGTGGCAGGTGAAACAACCGTGATAAGGACCAAAATGTATTAAAAACCTGGAAGTTGTGGGGTGGGGGTCAGGCTACCAGGTCAGCCAGGTGATCACCGTCACGTAAACACTGCGGCCGAAAGACAGGAAGTTAAGACCCCGAACCAATGAGGACTAACATAACCAAATATGACCACAGATAAGATTTGCTGAGGGCATAAATGGAGCCTGACCAGAAGGCAAATTGAATCAGTCCTCCTCTTAGCAGCCAGTCTGCAGTCGAATGCTCTCCCTGTGGCTCGGGGCACCGTCCATGGTCCCTCCTGCAAGTTGAGAGCCCTCATCTTAAGAGGTGAGTGATTGCGCATTTTGGGTCATGGTTCCTAGAGCGTAAGGACTCTTGGGTGGGCCGTGCAGTATTAACTCCATTGAGCATCTTGAGCCTGTTGATTGTTTGTTTGATTATATTTGTGAGAGTCTTAAAGAGTTTTGGTTAGCATACCATTTCTTTTGAGTTTATCCCCTCCCTAATGTAATTTTTTAACAAGTCTCTGTGACAGATGCCTCCCATGCAGGAAGAGGACTGGCGGGATGGGAGCCTGTCCTGGACACGGCAGGGGATGGGGTCCTTCCTGGGGCTGGCGTGGGGCCATGGGGAAAGGTGGCAAGTGCTGGGAATGTGCTGCCCCTCATTTCCTTCTGATTCCTGGTCTCTCCTAGGAGGTGGTGGGAGAGGGAGGAGGTGGCCATCCGGAGCTGGGTCATTCACCATTGTCAAGACCAACACAACAAATCTCTCACTAAACCACATGGATTCTGGACATAATTACACTGCGTTAGATATGCCATATTGGTGCATAAGACCTGATTATACACTGGTGATAATTTCAGGTGTTTTTATTGTTGTTTGCCTGTGTGGACTTGCGGGGAATATGGTGGTTGTGTGGTTCCTGGGCTTCCACATGAAGAAGAACCCCTTCACTGTCTATGTCCTGAACCTGGCCATCGCTGACTTCTCTCTGCTCCTCTTCGTTCTTGGGATACTTACATTAAACATTCTTTCAGAAGTAGAATGTTTTAATTGGTCTACATATATGGTGTCCAGAAATATCCTGATGCTTGTGTTTGTGTATTGGTATTTGGCCAGCATGTATCTCCTGACAGCAATGAGCATGGAGAGGTGCCTCTCTGTTTTGTTCCCAGTCTGGTACCGCTCTCGCCGCCCAAAGCACTTATCAGGCATCGTGTGTGGGGTGCTCTGGGCTCTCGCTGGACTATTTCTTGCTTTGGCTTGGATTAGTTGTATTTTTTCTCATCCTATTACGTGTGGAAACGAACTAATTCGTTTAAGTATTGTGAATTTTCTCATTTTCTGTTTCGTCCCACTCCTTTCCAACCTTTCCCTCTTCATCAGACTCCGATGTGGCTCACAGAGACGACACCCAGGAAAGCTCTATGTTGCTGTCCTCCTCAGTGTGATGTTCATGTTCATCTTTGGCCTGCCTCTCATCATATTGATTTTGCTTCATAACCTGTTTGGATCCCTATTTATAATTTTTATTGGTTACCTGCTGGCATCACTGAACAGCAGCATCAACCCAGTCATTTACTTCCTGGTGGGGAGCTGCCAGAAACGCCGGTTCCATAGCACTGTGAAAGCCGCCCTACGACGAGTGTTTGAAGAGAAAGTGACAAGCGAGGAGCAGAGCCACGTGCCTGGGGATGCTACGGTGTAAACCAGTGTATAAGGCACTGCTGGTGAGAAGCCCTGGAGATGCGGTCCCTCACAGACAGCCAGAAGGAGGCGGAGGCGTGGGGACACGTAGCACACAGCCAGCGCTGCACTGCTCAGCCGGGATCCGTCCCTCTGCCCGCCCTGCTTTCCCCTTGCCATGATCCTCATTGCTCTGGCCCCAGCGAATAAACTCTGGCCCCTTTGCTCAGCAGCTGATGAGTTCTGTGGTGTTTGGGGGGATCTCTGGCCAGGGGAAGGTCTGACACATTTGTACCATGGGGAGCTCTGGCCATCTCTGCTGGCCAAGGAAGGCAGGGCTTGGCAAAAGGGATTGCAAAAGCAGTCAAGCCAAGGGTTTCTGGTGAGTGGTGGGTTGAGGAGTGGTGTAGAGAATAAGGCATAAGGTAAAATTACAGTTTGGAGAATGCAAAGGAACGAGAAAGACAGAAGAAAAGGACGAAAGCAAGAGAGAATGAGAGAGATGGAGAGATAGAAAGCAAATGAAGAAGAAAGGGAGAGAGAGGAAAAAAGGAAGAGAGAGAATGGGAAAGCAAAGGAAATACAGAGACAAGTGAGCTGTCTCATGGTGCTGACGGATGAGGTTCAGTGAGACAAGAACCTGGCAGATAAAATCCTTTTTTCAGCCCCATGTAACCCACAGGTACAATCTCTAAGGCCACTCACATGGGCAGTTTCATCAGAGGCAGCGGGTGAAGCCCTTGTGCTGTTGCATGTTCTCAGCCTGGTGATTTCCCCATGTACCATGTAGAGTGTCTCCTGGTCCAGTGGCCAGAACACACAGGAAAGCCAGAAGCCCCTTGCATGGTGGGATGGCACTGGAGGGCAGCAGGAGAAGAGGAAGGGACTGACTTGCCAAATTTTTACTGGCAACATCCCCGTCCCTGGGACATGTGAGGAGAAGCTGTCACCCGTGTGCTGAGATTGTGAGGGGAGTCTCCTGACCACAGGAAATCTCTGTGATCTCTGGGGAAGGAGGCCTGACCAAAGTTGGTTTCACAGGCAGCTCTCACCAGACCCTTTTCCTGGGAAGCTGTCTTTGAAGAAATTTTGTACTTTAAGTGGGAATTTGTCAGACTGTTTCATTCCTGGTTTAAATTGTTCTGAGAAGAGTGTGGGTTCGATAGCGCTGGGGGATTATGAGTTCCCAGCACTCACGTTCCTACCCAGAATTTCATGAACCAGACAGGACAGTAAATGTCCCAGCAAGAGTCAGAGAATCTACTCCAACCCTGCTCCTGTCGTTCCCTACAGGAAAATCAAGAGCAGATCTTAAGACATGCTTTTCTTTTCAATATCTCCACAAAAGCTTTGGCCATGGGGACAAAAGCAGCCCAAAGGGGGCTTCAGCCTCTTTTGCCTGACTTCAGCCAAGGCTGTGATATCCAAACGTGGAAGGGAACAATGAGGGAGGCTTTGTCTCCAGAAAAAGCGCCGATTTTGGGAAGGAAATATTTCAAGGTGATGAGTGAGATAAAACAGTGCAACTCAGGACGTCTGGTGGCAAAGATCATCTCTCTGATACCAGAGAAAAGCCCCAGCGGGCAGATGCCAGCTGCAAGGGCTGAGACAGGAACCTGCTCTGGCACAGCTCCCCAAACACTCCCCAAACATGGCTCTGAGCTGTGCCATGAAGCAAGACAGGGGATTACCAGATCAGGTGGTCCTGGCAAGCCAGAGATACCAATTCCTGTATTGTCTTGGCTCACAGCAAAGATTTCATAGTTACTCCATTCATCGAACCTTTGTCTCCAATGACCAAAAAGAGCCTGAAATACAGAACTCGATGATCTTCAAGGTCCCTTCCAACTCTAACCATCCTATGATTCTGTAAACAAATGTTGGGCCCTTTAATATGTCATTTTATTTTATCGAAATTAGGAACTTGACACATCTGCCTGTGTGGGCTGGCAGGGAGTGGGGCCATCCTTTTGTTCCCCAGCTTCAGCATCAAGAGGAGCCCTTCCCTGCCTCTGTCCTGAACCTGGTTGTTCTCAGGATGAGCTGAGCAGTTCCTCTGCATATCTTTCAGTGACTAACCATAACCTCCAAAACCCTCTACTTTTTCTAGTCACCAACCTAAGGCATCATTTTCTTACTCCAACATGGTGACTCTGACCCCAAGGTCTGTTGAATAAACAGCAACTGGGCTTCATTGCAGAGCTTGTCACTGGAGAACAGAGCAAGGCTGACCCCACTCTGTCAGAAAATCATAGAATCATAGAATGGTTTGGGTTGGAAGGGACCTTCAAGATCATCCAGTTCCACCTCACTGCCCTGGGCAAGGACACATCCCACCAGACCAGGTTGCTCCAAGCCCCCTCCAACCTGGCCTTGAACCCCATGGGGCAGCCACAGCTTCTCTGGGCAACCTGGGCCAGGCTCTCACCACCCTCACAGCAAAGAAGTTCTTCCCCACATCTCATCTCAGTCTCCCCTCTTTCAGTTTAAAACCATCCCCCTCCTCCTAGGGCTCCCCTCCCTGATCCAGAGTCCCTCCTCAGGTTTCCTGGAGCCCCTTGAGGGACTGGAAGGGGCTGGAAGGTCTCCCCGGAGCCTTGTCTTCTCCAGGCTGAACCCCCCCAACTCTCTCAGTGCCCCCTCCCAGCAGAGGGGCTCCAGCCCTCCCAGCATCATTATGGCCTCCTCTGGCCCAGCTTCAAGAGGTCCATGTCCTTCTGCTGTTGGTGGCCCCAGAGCTGGAGGCAGCACTTGGGGGGGTTCTCCCCAGAGCAGAGCAGAGGGGCAGATTCCCCCCATCTCACTCTGCTGGGGATGCAGCCCAGGATGGGGAGGGCTTTCTGGGCTGTGAGCACACAAATGTCTCAGTTCCTCTCATTCTAAAGCCTCTGCTCTGTCTCTGAGGAGGACATGTACCCCTAGGGCATGACACACCTCATCCTAAGGTAGGAGCCTGCAATAGTCAGGATGAGCCATCTGTTGGCAGTGCCAAGACCTCCTCATTCCTTCTGGGAGCGACCTGGTCAGCAAGCGACATCTCTCTGGGATGCCTGGAGTCAGCGGAGCCACACCAAGGCAGTGGAGCTGCCCACACGTGCTGAGAGCCTTCCAGGGTTCAGAACCCACTGGTGATGTACACACAAGGCTTTGTGCCCAGATTTCTTATCCACCCACCCTCTGCTCTTAAGCAGACACACCACAAACACACCAGCAGGAGCGAAGAGCCTCCACGGCTCTGTTTTAATAGTTCTTAGGGTAGAGCAAGTTCACTTTTGGGACAGGGGAAGCTCAGACCTGTGGGGTAGGACCGATTCCAAGCAAAGGTTTCAAAGCAAAAGGTTTCGATGGGTATTTCACCACCCTGTCCAGTGTCCACCCCCGCAGAAGTTCTCGTGCCACCCAGCACAGTTCCTTGTGCCGCAGCTAATTCCATTCAGCTGCAGCTGGACACGCACCAAAGTCATCTTCCTTGGCTCACCCCGGCTCACGAGATCCTTCCATCCCTGGAGCATCTTCTCCCAGGGAGCAGAGGTTTAAACAACTGCTCCCACTGTGTTTTCTCTGGGAGTTTTGCCTCTATTTGGGGGCTCTGATGCGTTTTCCAAAGCCCTCTGGAAAGCAACCCTAACAGAGAACGTGAAGTTCTTTCCACAGCACCCAACCAAGAAGTAAATCACGGGCTTGATGGTGCTGTTCACGCAGGCCAAGGGGAGAGAGGTGTTAAAGACAAAAACAGACAAATCGATCAGCCTTAGCAAGAGCCAGTAACCAAAATCAGCCGTGAAGAAGGGGAAGAAGTAGACGCCGAGCAGGACCACAACACTGAGCATCTTTGGGGGATATTGCCTTGAAGAGCACAAGAGCCTGGCGAGCAGAGTTAGACCAGACACCATCATGGTCAGCACCGACAAGAGGTAGCTCAGGACGAAGATGATGAGTGCCACAGGGCGGAGGTAGAGGGTGAGGGTGAGCAGGAAGGAGAGGGCCCAGAGCAGGGCACACAGGACCCCTGAGAAGCCCCAGGAGTGGTGGCAGGGGCAGTGGGATGAGGGGAGGAGGGACAGAGACGTGGTGGCACTGAAGGCTGTCAGGAGGTAGACGCTGGCGGTGAAGGAGAAGAGGATGGTGATGTTCACCGCAGTTGTCACATCTCGTGAGGCCAGCCTATGACAAAGGCTCTCTGAGCTGTAGAATATCACAACGGCAACAGCGATGGAGAGGAGGAAGGTGAAGTCAGCAACGGCCAGGTTGAAGACATAGGTGGTGGTGGGGTTCCTGCGGACATGGGAACCCAGGAACCAGAGGACGGCGCCGTTCCCCACCAGCCCGCAGAGGCAGATGAGCAGTGTCACAGACACTTTGCTCAAGTGGTCACCTTCACAGTCGGTCCCGTTGTAGTCCTCGTCCTCCTGCCTCAGCAGCCTGTGATGCCAGCTCCTGTTATGTGCTGTCCCACCGGGCTGGCTCCAACAAGCTGGGCTGGCTCCTTCCATGGCAGGCACCATTGCGACACCTCTGCTGCTTCTCCTTCCTCCTGGCACAGCTGGAGGGACGAGATAAAACAGAGACACGTTACCAACTCTGCTGTCCCCCACACCAGGCTTCTCACATCTTTGCAGCCGTGCCCCCAGCTTCCATGTGGAGGAGCAGAGAGGGGAGAGAGGGAGAGGAGAGATGGAAGACAGGATGAAGGGAGATGGGCACGACACGCCTGGCACAAGAGCATGTAGAGAGGTGGAGAAAAAAGCTAAGGAGATGCCTCCTTCCTGGCTTTGGACAGGACAGAAATAACAGGAGGGAAATAACAGGATGAAAGGATTGTCCTTGGAGATGGAGCAAGTGGTTTTGGGGGTGGATCTGATATGGATTCTCAGCTTTCCAATATTATAGTTGATATCACTAAGCTGCCAGCATCCTTCAGCTGGACACTCATTTCATTATTCCCCTACCCACCTTTTCCCATGATATTTATAAGTCTTAATATCCTAGAGGCCACTATTCCCCGATCAGATTTGGTGCAAATTGACCGATAAGTTCAAAACCAATTAGGGGAGGCACTGATTAGGCTGCGGAAAAAAAAACAGCAACCAAAGAAAACAACTAGAAAACTCTGACCTTCTTTCCTCTCGCAGCCTGGAGAACTTCGCTGGAGCAGACGCGCTGCAGACTCACATCACTTCGTGCTCCCCAGCTGCCACCCCTGTGACGGCATCTTCATGAGCTTTCCTGGAATTATCACTTGGAAAACTGGACGGAAGCCTGCTCCTGGTGAGCCTATGCAGCGTCCAGCCTGAGATCTTCCTCCAGCCCTTTCACAAGCTGCTGCTCTCAGCGTTGGCCAAGCAGGTCACGTTCTCCAGGGTTCTCGCAAACAAGGAACTATTTCACTGCATTTGACAGTATCAGGGTTCTGGTTGTAATCTATTCTTGGCTTTGTACAGGAAATGACTAACAAAAAAGGAGTCTCAGAAACTAGGCCTATGAGAAAAGCAGAATATTTCAGTGTCAGGTTCCTCTTTCATTTCGTTTTAAAGCAACACCAATGCCAACATATTCGTGTCTCTGAACTGGCTGAGCTTTTCTCCTGTCCTTCCAGGGCTGTACCGTTAGGACCCTGCGCTGCAAGCTTGGCCTTGCTCCAAAACTTCCCTTTCTGATCCAGCTCTACCTTTGTTACTCGTATACCACAATTTCACAGCGATATTTGACCATCAAATACACACTTTCCAAGAGCACGCTGCGGCGTGCGTGGAGGAGATCACTGAATAATACGTGTGCGTGACCCAGAGCACAGCCAGACGGCAGAGAAATGATGGAGGATTTCAGGAAAACTCTTTTTTTTTTTTCCTAAGGAGAGGTGAACCAACGCAGCTCACTTGGCTTTAGCCATCTGAAAGTTAAGGGGTTTGTCCGAGTTGTCTTCTACACCCCCTTTGCGGTCAGCTAGCGGCTTACGATGGTTTTCTCAGACAGGACCGTGTAATTTCTAGAGAGCTGAAGGTCAGTGAGATGGTTCCCACCCAGGAGGTGAAATGCAACCAGCTCCTGTTGCATCAGGGGATGCTCCTTGGTGCTGGGAACCGTCCCACGTGGGGGACCCCAGGACCAAACCCGCCACCTCTCTCTCTCCCTGATACTGTGTTTGGGTCCCCAATCCCACATCCCCACACCAAGCCAACCCCTTTATGTCCAAACGGGTCATGATAAGGAAAGCATTGAGGTACACCAGGGTAACGCCGTGCAACACAACACTCACTGCCCCCTCTACCCGTGTGCTATTCAAGAGTTACCTGGGTTTCCTCAGCTTCTGCTTTCACGGGCAACATCCTGAGCACCCTCACCTGAAATTTGGATTTCCAACACAAGATCTACAGCCATCAGTTAGTTGTTTGTGTGGGGATCAGGCTTGTGTTCAAAGGAAGCTACGTTCTGTAAATATTATGGCCCTGGTGGTGGTTGTTTCTGTGTGTCAGGGAAGTTAGCAAAACCATCTGGCAGACAGAGCTCAGCCTTCTGGAGCTATTGCCTGCCAGAGCCTGCCCAGCTTCTGCTCCTCTCTCTTTTCTTGGGTCTGCCCCAGCAGTTTGCTCCACGGGCTTCTCCCCCTGGTGCACAGAATTGTGCTTTCCAACAGCCATCAGCCCGTAGCTGTCTGTCTGTCTGTCTGTCGGTCCTCTGTCCAGCCTGGCACAGTTCTAGTCACAGGCAGCACTAACTTGACTGTCCCTTCCTGCCTCCCCGGATAGACCCCCATGGCAGGGTGAAGGTTTGGCTTCTTACTGGTGCTGCCAGCTCCATCCAGCTCTGGGACCACCAACAGCAGAAGGACATGGGCTTATTGGAGCAGGGCCAGAGGACGATGCTGGGAGGGCTGGAGCCCCTCTGCTGGGAGAACAGGCTGAGAGAGTTGGGAGGGTTCAGCCTGGAGAAGAGAAGGCTCCAGGGAGACCTTGGAGACCCTTCTAGTCCCTTAAGGGGCTCCAGGAAAGCTGGGGAGGGACTCTGGATTAGGGAGGGGAGCCATAGGAGGAGGGGGAAGGGTTGGACACTGAAAGAGGGGAGATGGAGATGAGATGTGGGGAGGAAATTCTTCCCCCTGAGGGCCATGAGAGCCTGGCCCAGGTTGCCCAGAGAAACTGTGGCTGCCCCATCCCTGAAGGGGTTCAAGGGCAGGTTGGAGGGGGCTTGGAGCAACCTGGTCTGGTGGGAGGTGTGGCAAGGGGGTTGAAACTAGGTGATCTTGAAGGTCCCTTCCAACTCAAACCATTCTATGGTCTATGTTCTATGGTTAGCCAGACTGAAATGGCTTTCTTCTGTCAGACTGAGGCACAGGAGGACAGCAAGCCAGAAGGAGCTGCAAATGTCATTTCTGTCCCTCACCGTCTCCTCTGCTCTGGGGGCTTTTGAAGGTCAAGGTAGTGAGTGCTCAGTGCTTTCAGACCAGACACCAAGGTCCCAGAAGAGGGCAGAGGCAGGAGGAGTTGCGACATCTCCAGGCTGGGAAGCAGGCGAGGTACAGATCAGGGCCCAGGAGTGTGGCTGTATTAACCCTGGAGAAAAAAAAAATGAAGCAGGACTTTCTGGAGGACATTATTTCAGCAGTGTAAAGCAGTGGGCAGCGTGAGGGGACTGCCACAGCTGCAATTTTGAGAGCAAGCAAGAGCACCCCATGGAGCCCGCAAAGGAAGAAACCGCAGTCACCAGTAAGTTACATCCAAGACACTTTTATTAAAATAACTTAAAAATAAGTTTGAGGTGGGAACCAAGCCCTGCCCCGGGAAATCTCATTGCGCGTGGATGTGTCCTGGGGGACACGCCACCATCCACTGCTGGTTCTGCTCGCCCAGCTGGGCGAGTGGGCTGCCCTGGGGGCTGGCCAGGGGTGCAGAGGCAGGACTGCCCCTCTCCAGGTGCCAGTCTGTAGCCACAGCATTTCAGGTGGCAATTCCCATCACAGGGGTCTCACCCACCTCTTGGGAATCTGCCCGCTCTTCAAAGACCCTCTGAAGAGCCACTTTGACAGATCCCCTGAACCTGGAATTTCCATTTCTGTAGCTCCCAACCAGGACGTAAATAACTGGATTGATGCTGCTGTTGAAAGAGGCCAGCAACAGGCAGATCTCAAAGACAACATTAATGTAGCCAAAGTGGAAGAAGATCTGGACGCTGAGTGGGATGCCAAAGAGGATGAAGAAGAGAACAGTGAGGAAGATGACAGTGTACAGCCTCACCGGGTGGTGTTGCCAAGAGCTACGCCTGAGCTTGACGAAGATGATGACATTGGAAAGAACCATAAAGGGAGGGAGAATGCAGAAATTGAGAAAGCAGAAGGCTCCAAAAAGCATCTTGCAGCGTTTATAGCCACTGGGGTCACACAGAAAGTACACCAGCCCAGCAAGGACACAGGCAAGGGCCCACAACAGGCTGCACATGACAGTTGACAGGAGCTTGGGGCGTTGGCATCGGCTCCAGAACGGCCAGAGGACACAGATACACCTCTCCACGCTGATGGCCGTGAGGAGGTAGAGGCTGGTGCTGTAGGTGAGCAGAGCCATGGAGTGAAATAGCAACAGCACCTGCAAAACCTCTGTCTGGACGTGGATGAGCCAGGGCATATGGTATGTTATGAGGAAAGCTGATGTGCAGAGGAGGAAGCAGGCATCGGCGACGGCCAGGTTCAGGAGGTAGGCGGTGAAGGGGGTCCTGCGGATGTGGAAGCCAAGGAGCCAGAGGATGGCCCCGTTCCCCACCAGCCCACAGAGGCAGATGAGCAGCGTGATGCTGCTGGTGATGATTTCAGGGATGTGTTCAGCCAAGCACTTGGTCCCGTTGTGTCCATCCCTGTAGACCATGCTCTCCGTGGGCTCTGGGAACACCATATGCCAGTCAGGGATTGTGTTGTTGGGATGGCGGTCCATCTTCCTCCTTTCTCCCTTGTGCTTACCTGGGGGAAAACAAGAGATGAAGGCAAAATTAGTGACTCCCAGTTCCCCAGGATTGTGAACATCCTCTGGTCATTCAGTGATGACCCCCTCCTCCAGTGATGACCCCCTCCTCCATGTGCTGCAATATCTGCGACCCAGAGAACATGAGACCTGAGCAGAGAAAAGATAAAAAGGAGAGGAGAGGAGAGGAGAGGAGAGGAGAGGAATAGGAATAGGAATAGGAATAGGAATAGGAATAGGAATAGGAATAGGAATAGGAATAGGAATAGGAATAGGAATGGAAAAGCTTGGGCCCAAGGTGTCAGGACATGGACAGAGAGCTGGAAGAGGAATGGAGGGAGAAAGCAAAGGCACGCAGAGCCGTTTGCCCTTTAAGGACTGAGAAGGTGAGTGGGGAGAATGGAAAGATGAAGGAAGAGCAGAGCATCGTGCCCCAGGAACAGGAGTGGAGATGAGCCCCAGACCCTTCTCACCAGGCGTGGGGGAGGTCCAGTGAGGGCAGAGTCCTCGCACAGCCTTGGTATCACAGAGCTGCCAACTCCAGTCCTCTCCGTCAGACTTGCACGTGGAATTTGACAAAGCTGCCACGCCAAAATTCTCTCAGTTGAGTTCTGGCCACCGGGAAGAAGGTAACTCCATGACGAGGTTCCTCCAACGGTCTGTCTGTGGGTCCTGGCACCTTGTCTCTTCCTCAGCTCTGGGCCAAATGGACACCAGGACCACGGTTCCTGGGCGTCTGCTGAGGGGTGGGTGACTGCAGGCTCATGGATGTGCCAGGGCTTGGTCATCACTTCTGAGAGCAGCGGAAGAACGCTTGCCAAAGAGTCACCCTCACAGGACGGGCGTTGTAGACTGATCTGCTGGTTGCTTCAAACATTTCCTGTTTGCAAACCTACCATCGCGTCGGGCACCAAGTTATCATCTTCCTCCTCCTCCTCCCGGCTGCACCGTCCCTGGGATGTGTCGCCGTTGGTGTCCCCCCTCATTTGTGTCAATGTCTGCTCTTTGCTGTCACACAGAAGCCACCAGCTCCCCCGTTGATGATGCTTGGTGCCCGTTGACTGTCACTTCCCCACTCGCAGGAGCTGAACCGGGCACCTCCATCACCCCCAGCCGCCGGGAGGGAAGTGGGGTGGTGTGACGCACCCCGTCCACCACATCCCAGGGATGACACACACCACCAGGACACCACACCACTGGCGGGTGGGTGGCAGCTCCGTGCCCCATCCTCACGTCTCACCCTGCTGAGACAGCAGGACATGGCGTGAGACCTCGGAGGAGGACTGTTTGTCCTGAGGGGTGTCTGCAGGACAGGAGACTTCAAGCTGGAGGGGAACAGATTTAGACTGGAGATGAGGAGAGGGTTCTTCACTGTGAGGGTGGTGGAGCACTGGAACAGGTTGCCCAGGGAGGTGGTTGAGGCCCCTTCCCTGGAGATATTCAAGGAGAGGCTCGAGGAGGCCCTGGGCAACCTGGTCTAGTTGGGGGTGTCCCTGCTGACTGCGGGGGGGTCGGACTAGATGGCCTTTGGAGGTCCCTTCCGGCCTGGGCAATTCTATGATTCTATGACTTCTGGTATCACCAGCCCCATCCCTTTGCCCTGTGCCAGGCAACCTTTTTGGGGCCAGGGAGGTCTGTCCCACTTCCCCATCTGCTGAACAAGCAAATCTAAATGAAGAGCTCAGGAGAAATCACTGCAGGCAGCCAGAGTAAGGGGAAGAAAATCCAACCATCCAGGAGGTCATGCCATCCAGCCCTGGATGCTGTCCTGATTGCTCCTCCATCCTAAATCCTGCCTGGCTGCAGGCAGAGGGGTGGAATCACAGAATGGTTCTGGTTGGAAGGGATCTTCAAAAGCCATTCAGTCCAACCCACCTGAGATGAGCAGGGACATCTTCAACTTAATCAGGTTGCTCCAAGCCCCCTCCAACCTGGCCTTGAACCCCTCCAGGGATGGGGCAGCCACAGCTTCTCTGGGCAACCTGGGCCAGGCTCTCACCACCCTCACAGCAAAGAAGTTCTTCCCCACATCTCATCTCCATCTCCCCTCTTTCAGTGTCAAACCCTTCCCCCTCCTCCTATGGTTCCCATCCCTCACCAAAAATCCCTCCCCAGATTTCCTGGAGCCCCTTGAGGGACTGGAAGGTCTCTCCGGAGCCTTCTCCAGGCTGAACCCCCCCAACTCTCTCAGCCCCCCCTCCCAGCAGAGGGGCTCCAGCCCTCCCAGCATCTCCGGGGCCTCCTCTGGCCCCACTCCAACAGCTCCATGTCCTTCTGATGTTGGTGGCCCCAGAGCTGGAGGCAGCACTTGGGTGGTCTCCCCAGAGCGGAGCAGAGGGGCAGAATCCCCCCCCTCACTCTGCTGCCCACGCTGCTGGGGATGCAGCTGAGATACAGGGGGCTTTCTGGGCTACCAGCATATGTTGCCAGCTTGTGTTGAGCTTTTTTATGGAGGGGATTATGGTGGGATGCTCTGCTTCCCCTGCAACTTTAATTAGGCAGAAGGTGAAATAGTCCTGACTTTAGCTAATTGCCTTGATTTGGCATGAAACCCAGGCTCCTCCAAATTCCTTAATAAATAACATTTATTTAAATAATAATGAAACTAGACGGAAGGAGAGCTTCTGCCCTGTCTGCCTCTGGCTCTTCAGTGTCTCCAAAGCCCCTGATGACTCTTTCTTACCCAGTGGAGAAGTTCAGCTGGCAGCTCTTTGGCTACTGTTTCCCCAGTTGTTTGTAAATAATGTTAAATATTTGTTAAATTATGTTGATATGACACATAAATGACAAATAGTAAATATTACCTACCCTTATAGCAAATAAGAAACTGTAGAAGGTAAATAATAAACCCCTGGTGGTAGATAAGAAACACTAAATAGTAAATCAGTGAATGAATAGTTGGTAATAAATGATAAACAATAAATAGCACTTAACAAATATACATAGCAATTAACAAATAAATGCAAATAAAATAGATAAATCAAGCTATAAATAAAAAATAGTTGTTATCATAAACGTGATAAATAACATTGACAGCAGCTGCCTGGGGAAGCCCCCTCCTGCCAGGTGGGCTGGGGTCTGCGTGAGGCTGGGGGACGTGGTCCCTGACCCAGGGGTCCCGGGGTACCCCAGGACAACCAGCACAGTGACAATTATAATTATCGGGCTGATATTTCTTTATTTCACCTTGTGGCAACATCAAAATGTCCTATTCTTCATCAGTTAATAACTCCTGATGATGTGGGGACAAGCCGTGCTGGGGACAAAGGTGACAAGTTGTCCCTAAAGGCACCTTCTGGTGTCATTTTAAATGTTTAAGTTCCTTCTCTCTATGTTAAAAATTGAGAGAAAGGCGCTTTCCCCCCGCCCCTGTAATGCTGACTTATGTTACAAGGTGGTGGTGGTTTTGGTGGTGTTGGGTCGATGGTTGAACTCGATGATCTTAAAGGTCCCTTCCAACCCAGAAGACTCTATGATTCTATGAATATATAAGAAATAAAAAAAAAAAAATCACACTCTTTAATTAAACCTGGAGTTTTGCCCTCTCCAAAGTCACACAGTCCTCAGAAATAACCCTGTGGTGGACCCATGGGTGAGCTCTTCATACCAGCACTTGGGTTTCTGGCTGGCTGTGGTCACAGGGAAGTGATGTCACAGAATCTTCATGGTTGGATGGGGCCTTTGAGTCCCTTTGAGATCATCGAGTCCAACCACAAAAAAAACCAACCAAACCAAAAACGCACACACACACAAAAAAACCCCACCCAAAACCTCAAAAAAACCCACAAACAGACACAACCCAACCATCTCAGGCACTAGAGCATGCCCTGAAGTGCCATGTCTACATGTTTCTTAGATACCTGCAGGGATGGTGAGTCCACCACCTCCCTGGGCAGGCTGTTCCAGTGCCTGACCCCTCTCTCAGTAAAGTAATCCTTCCTAAAATCTAATCTAACCCTCCCCTGCCCCAACTTCAGACCATTTCCTGTGGTCCTGTCGTTATTCCCTTGGGAGAAGAGGCCAACACCCACCTCTCCATAACCTCCTTTCAGGTAGTTGTAGAGGGCAATGAGGTCACCCCTCAGCCTCCTCTTCTCCAGAAGTCTTTCCTTTGGAAGTCTCCAGAGGTCTTTCCTTGGGGCTGGGTTTGATGGGGCAGCACGATGCTGTCACCTCCCAGTATCTCTTCCAGGCACCACCCCTTCCTTCCCAGGACCATCCTTGAAAGGATTTGATTGACTTCTCCTGGGAAGACTCCCTGATTGGCTTTGGATCCCTCTTTTAGATTACTATGAACCCAGGGAAAAAGAAAACAAAAAACAACCAACCAACCAAAAAAACCCCCAAAAAAACAGAAGAAAGGAAACCAAAAAACCAAACAAAAAAACTCCAAAAATGAAACAAAAAATAAACAAGCAAACACACACACACACACACACTGAAAACCACCAAAACAACAACAAAAAAAGGCAGAAAGCAGGTTAGCAGACTTGGAGAAGGTCTTTCGCCATCTCTGCCATATCCTGTTCCAGCTGGACAAAACACCAAACCGCAGGAACATGTGTGTGAACTGAAGTTAATTAATGGGATTTCTGCTGGGGAGTGGGGGCAAGGCGTTTCCCAGCAGAAACATCTCCTTCCAACCCACCCGGCGACCACAGAGAACCCGTGGAATGATAAGAAATCAGCCCAAAACTTATAAACCGCTCTAACAAAACTATAAGCTCGATAACAGGAAGCAATCTTTTCCCCCCAGGATTGATTAAATAGCCTAAAAAAAAATTAAATAAATAAAATTTCAAGTATTGTAGTGCGGAGCTTCCAAGTTGTCCCAGTGAATAACGAAGCTGCCAAAGCTTGCAATAATTAGGGCTGCCATCTCCAGCTGTCTCCGTTTTGCCCCAAATGTCCTTCCAACCACAAGTCCTTTGGTCTGGGTTGTTCCAAATGTGGAACAAGTGGGCAGGATGTCCCGGTGCCGTATCCTTTGGGAAGCCCCCACCCACTGGGCTGGCTGGGAACAGTCACCCACTGCAGGACTGGGGACAATCCATCCTTTCCAGCTCAGGGACTTCTCCCCCAGCCCCTGCAAAACAACAAAATAACCTAAAAGTAACTTTTTTTTCATGCTAAAGCAATGTTAGGATTAGCTAAAAACTTCTAAGAGGCTGCATTAAATGCAAGGCAGCTGCTCCCACTCCCTGTTGCTCCCAAAACTTCTCTTCAGTCGGAGCTCCCCAGTTCCAGAAGGACAGGGAACCACAGGAGAGGGGACAGCAGAGGGTACAAAGATGATGAGGGGCCTGGAGCATCTCTCTGCTGAGGAGAGGCTGAGGGACTTGGGGCTTTTTAGTCTGGAGAAGAGAAGGCTGAGGGGGGATCTGATCAACACCTATAAATACTGAAAGGGGGGGTGTCAGGAGGATGGGGCCAAGCTTTTTTCAGTGGTGCCCAGGGACAGGACAAGAGGAAATGGGCACAAACTTGAATATAAGATGTTCCACCTAAACATGAGGAGGAACTTCTTGACTTTGAGGGTGGCAGAGCCCTGGCAGAGGCTGCCCAGAGAGGTGGTGGAGTCTCCTTCTCTGGAGACATTCAAACCCCACCTGGACACGTTCCTGGGGGACCTGCTCTGGGTGGCCCTGCTCTGGCAGGGGGTTGGAGGAGATGATCTCCAGAGGTCCCTTGCAACTCCATAGCATTCTGTGATTTCTGTGGGCCAGAGGGAAAAGCACGACCCTGGACTTTCTTAACCCATCTTCAGCCAGCGTGAAGCAGGACGGCTCTGCAGAACGGTACCTCCCGGTGGCTGCAGGAGGTGTGCTTCATCCTCCATCCTCCTCCTCCTCCTGGGAGGGCAGAGCCCGCGGGGAGCAGAGCTGGGCTGTGGGACCCATCACAGCATCCACAAGCCATGGATGTGGCTTCCCAGGTGTTTTTCTCCCTGAAATTCGTCCCGATGCGGACGAATTTCATTTCACTTATTTTTCCTCCCGGAAATTTGTCCCTCTGCCCTACGGAGGCAGCAATTCCTGGAAGCTGCATCCCGGGGAGATGGGAGCCCGTGCCGGCATCCCAGGGAGGGGACGGGGGGGGTGAGCAAACCCTGGGGCTCTTCCCAAATCCATTTTCAGGGATGGAGCACCAACCGATTTCAACAACAAAAAAAGGCTTTTTGTGTGACCGAGGGGTGATGCCGCCTCCTTAAGGTCTGTTTTCTTCAGATAAAAATGGGCATCTGGAGAAAAAAACTCTACATCAGCTGGAAAATCTTCCCAATCAGCGTTAATGAGCCATCTCTGCCCCCGTCTGCACTGGCAGGAGGGAAGGTGCCTGCTGATAAGAGAGAGATAAGGAGGCTCCTGGACGGCTCCTCCCTTGCCTGAGCTTTTTTTAACTAATTAATGCTTTGTAGTTCGAGTGCCTGGCACAGCCTTGATGGCAAAGAAAGGGACACGGATCCTTAAGCGTTTGCCAAGGGAAGGGAAAAGAGGGGAAAAGGGAAAGAGAAAAGGGAAGGAAAAGGGAAAAAAAAAAAGAAAGGCAAGGGAAAAGGAAAAGAGGAAAGGGAAGGGAAAAAGGGGAAAAAAGGAAAGGCAAGGGAAAAGGAAAAGAGAAAAGGGAAGGGAAAAGGGGGGGGGGAAAGGAAAGGCAAGGGAAAAGGAAAGAGAAAAGGGAAGGGAAAAGGGGAAAAAAAAGGAAAGGCAAGGGAAAAGGGAAAAAAGGGAAAGGCAAGGGGAAAGGAAAAGAGAAAAGGGAACGGAAAAGGGGAAAAAAAGGAAAGGCAAGGGGAAAGGAAAAGAGAAAAGGGAAGGGAAAAGGGGAAAAAAAAGGAAAGGCAAGGGAAAAGGAAAAGATGAAGGGAAATGAAAGGAAAGGGGAAAAAAAAAGAAAAAAAAAAAAAAAGAAAGGAAAAAGGAAAGGGGAAAAAGAAAGAAAAAAAAAAAGAAAGGAAAAAGGAAAGGGGAAAAAAGGAAAGGAAATCCCAAACCACTAAGTCAGGAGAGAAGGGGGCTCTTCCCCCAAGCTCGGGGGATGTTCCACTGGCACTTCAGAATTGATGTGACTTTGGTCACCCATTTGGTGACGTTGTTTGGTGTAAAGGATCGTGCCCTGAGGGGTAAGAGCAGGTCAAACACGGTGGCAGATAATGATATCCTCATTTAATTTTGCTCTTTTCTAAGCGCTGTAAAAGGCCAGTGGCCGGAGGTGCCCTCCCGCACCCGCCGGTCTTCCCGACCGGGACCTGAGGAGGAGGAGAATTCCCCTTTTTCCAGGGGGGGGACCGGGATCTCCGACTTCGGGTGAATCACCCCCCCCCCGCCGGCAGCGGAGAGAGGGGTGACTGCCCCGTTTGGGGGCGGGGGGGTGACCCCAGGACAAGATCAAATCGATTTCCTCTTTTCCCGGTAACCCCAAGCCTCTCCCAGAAAAACCTGAGGAAGAGGAAGAGGATGATGCACGGCGGCGCTGCTGCGTGGGGCTCCTCTGCATGCGATTTGGGGAGCTTTGGGTTGGGTTGGTTTTGGGTTTTTTTAAAGTCATTTTAGGGAAATCCTGTCCTTTAAAAAGCAAGGAAAAAAAAGCGCCTGTAGAGAATCTCAGCACACAAATGACTCAGCCTGAATCGTTTACCTGATAAAGTGGATATGAAGGAGAAACTGGGGGAAGGGGGTGTTTATCAGGTAAATTAAGAGACTCAGAAAAAAAAAAAAAAAAACAACAAAAAAACAAACAAAACAAACAAAAAAACCACCCCAACCCACAAAAAAAAAAACCCAAAAAACAAAGAAAAACAAACAAAACCAAAACCAAACCAACAACCAAAAAATAAATTAAAAATAAAAAAATAAAAAAAAAAACAACAAAAGGCAAAAACCAGATTCCTACCATCCTCAGACTAATGTCTCCATCTGGTTCACTAAACCTCATTAATCAAAAAAAAAAAAAAAAAAAAAAAAAAAA